TCCAGTGAGATATTTCACGTTCTTCTCTATTTATTCTTTTGGATTACTGTTACAGTACCTTGATTTCTCAAATTGGCCCTAGCTTCCAGTTTCTGCATTCTAACTTTTAAGGAAGTATTTTCTTCAGTAAGCTTTTGGACTTCCTTTTTCATTTGGCCAGTTTTCCTTTTTAGAGCATTCTTCTCCTCATTGGCTTTTTTTTTTGCCATTTGGGTTAGGGATTTTTTAAGGTGTTATTTTCTTAAGAATTTTTTTGGGTCTGCTTTAGCATCACTCTCAGTTTTTCCTCTCCTTCTCTTACTTGCTTCTCAAAATCCTTTTTGAACTCTTCCATGGCCTTGGACCGATTACATTTTTCTCAGAGGCTTTGGATGTAGGAGTTTTGGCTTTGTTGTCTTCTTCTGGTTGTTTGTTTTGATCTTCTTTGTCACCAAAGTAAAATAATAGTCTGACTCTTTTTGCGCTGCTTGCTCATGATCCCGGCCATTTACTTGAGTTATAAACTCTTTGTTAAGGTAGGAGTCTGTTTCCAGTGTGGAGAATGTATTGTCCCAAGCTTCAGGGTTTTGTGCAGCAGCTTTCAGAGATACTTCTAGAACCTGTAAATTTTCAGTTCTTCCAAGGTGCTATGATCAAGGGGAGGTGTTTACTTCTTTCCTGGCCTGTGCTGTGCTCTATGAGTGAGTCTTGGAACTATGAGGAGGATTTCCTGGTCACAGCGCCCTACAAGCTCCATCATGCCCCAGGACTGCCTAGAGCTGTGACCCAGATCCAAGTGTGGGCAAAGCAAGAGAATCCTGCACCAGCAAAGATCCCTTCAATCTCCCTCTGATCAGCCACTCCATTCCCTCTGTCTGTGGGCCAGAAGCTGTGGAGGCAGCTGCTGCCCTGGGGCCAAGCGCAAGGGCTGGGACTGGGACTGGGCATCTCTCTTCACCCACAGACTTTTCCTACTGACCTTCTTAGTTGTCTTTAGCGTTTGTGGGTTGAGAAGTCAGGAAATTGCCACAGCTGCCCACAGTTCAGTCTCTGAGCCTGCTCAGGTTTGCTGCGGCTGCACTCCCATGCCTGAACTGCCACTTTCTCTCCTTTCCCCCCCTGGCGCAATATACCTTTCTAATCAACCATTCAGGCTGTCTTGGGCATGAAATTTGTTTCACTCTGTCTTTTTGTGGGTCCTGCTGCTTTAGAATTTGTTTAGAGCCATTTTTTATAGTTATTTGGAGGGTTTAGGGGAAAGCTCAAGCAAGTCACTGCATTTATTCCACCATCTTGGCTCTGCCCTCTTGTGCAAAAGCTTTTCAATTTAATGTAATTAAAATCATCCATTTTGTATTTCCTAATGTCCTCTATATCTTGTTTGGTTGTAATTCTTCTCTTCACTGTAAATCTGACAGGTAAAGTATTCTTTGCTCTCCTAGTTTGCTTATACTGTCAGCCTTCATGTATAAGTTATGTACCCATTTTGACTTTATCTTGGCATATGGTGTAAGATGTTAGTGTATGCCTAGTTTGTGCCATAGTGATTTCTAGTTTTCCCCTCAGTTTTTGTGAAATAGTGAGTTCTTATCCAGAGGAGTCTTTGGGTTTATCAAACAGTACATTACTATAGTCATTACTACTGTGTCTTGTGTATTTAATCCTCCACTCTAGTTCTTAGCCAATACCAAGGGTTTTGATGATTACTGCTTTATCATAAAATTTAAGATTTGGTGCTGCTAAGGCCACCTTCTCTAGCATTTCTTTTCATTAATTCCTTAATATTCTGGACCTTTGTTCTTCCAGATGAATTTTGTTACTTTTTTACTAGCTCTATAAATAAGTTTTTGTAGTTTGATTGGTGTGGCACTGAATAAGTAAATTAATTTAGGTAGAATTGTCATTTTATTATATTAGCTCAGCCTACCATGAGCAACTGATATTTTCCCAAGTATTTAGATCTGACTTTATTTGTGTGAAAAGTGTTTTGTAATTATGTTCATATAGTTCGTGGGTTTGTTTTGGCAGATAGACTCCATATTTTATGAACTTTAAATGGAATTTCTTTTTTTTTTGAAAGGCAATAGGTATTAAGTGATTTCCCAGGGTCACAGTCAGTAAGTGTCTGAGGCTAGAGTTTGAACTCGGGTCCTCCTGACTCCAAGGCTGGTACTCTACTGTGCCACCTCGCTGCTTCTGGAATTTCTCTTTCTATCTCTTGCTGTTGGGCTTTGTTAGTAATTATAGAAATGCCAGTGATTTATGTGGGTTTATTTTATATCCTGCAACTTTGCCAAATTTGTTTATTATTTCAAGTAATTTTTTACTTGAGTCTCTGAGTATAATCTTACTCTGCAAGAGTGATAGCTTTGTTTCTTCTTTGCTTATTCTAATTCCTCCAATATCTTTTTCTCCTCTTACAGCTAAAGCTAACATTTCTAGTACAATATTGAATAACAGTGGTGATAATGGACATCCTTGTTTCACCTCAATCTTACTGGAAATGCTTCTAGCTTATCCCCATTACATGTAATGCTTGCTGATGGTTTTCTCTGTATTACTTTTGAAGAGTGAAATTTTCATTAAGGCAATTTTGATAAAGGAGAATGGCTTTTAGAGGCAATAGGAGAAGTTGATACCTTGTAAATGGGGTAGGATGCAGATTAAAAAGCTGACACTAACTCAAACATAAGTCTAAGGATGTTTAGCATCAGAACAAAGAATCTTACACACATCTCAGTTGCCTTGAGAAGAAGTAGAAATCAGTGTGTGTAGAGTTAGTCCTTACCAATTGATATCCCCTCAAGTTAGTTAATGTCATAATAGAAGGGGCTTATAACATGTTTTAAATGAAACACGGTCTTGTTTATACCTTATTGCACCTTTACAAAATCTTCAGTTTCACTGGTGGAATTGGAAGGGCAGCTTACATTTGGCTGGCAAAAAATTGGTCACAATGCTGATGGCCTTTCAAAAGCTAAACTTCCAGTCCTGGAGACAGCCCCACTCACCCATTGTCTTACTCATCTTTGGTGTCTTGGAGCAGATTGATCACCCAGTGAATACTCTGTTTCATTTAGGGAGCAGAGAGAGAGAGAGGGAGAAAGCCAAGTCAGAAAGCAGATTGATGAAGTATGACGAGCACTCTACAGAGCACACAGCAAGGAGTTGAGGTGGATTATATTTCTCAGCCCCACTATCCATAGCATCTTGTCCACTGGCCCTGAAGCCAGTACATAAGAGAATTGGTGGAAATGGCAGCAGAGAAGAGAGCCTACTGTGGTTTCAAGAAGGAGTTAGCCCAGGCACTGAGGAGAGCAGCAGACTAAGAGAACCTATCTAAGCAACCTGGTCAACACAGATGCTACTCAGATGGTGCAGCTTGAGTACACTGTAAGAAGAGAAAGGACATTGAGGCCCTACAGTACTGGAAGCATTACTTAGGCTAAATATGTTTCCTTCATGTGTACTTCACTACCAGTATACTCTTAGTTTTTCCTCACTCTTAACTACTGCTTTTTTAATATGGGGGAGAATACACCCCAAGTTTATGGTGTGTGGGGAGGTAGAACTGTTGTATAGTTACTTTCTTACTATCCTATCTTAATAACTGTCTTTTCCTTGAGTTCACTGTATTTATGGGCTAACTATTTAAAAATAGGTGTACTGGTTGGGGCTCATGAGCTGTAATTTTAGTAGTGCAAACCCATCAAGTTCCTTTGAACCCTGGAGATAATGGTTTCCCCTTTCAGACCAACCTACATCCTTTGAATGCTGGATTTAGATGAAAGTGCTACCAGAGAGGGGCTCTACATGGTATTATAACACTTAGTGATAGTTATTGTTATCATTTATGGTGGTGATACCAGATTACCAAAAGTAGATTGAATTTTATTCAGCATATTCTTTTAAGGAGACAAGGAAATTTGTAATACAATTTAGATTTCTACCTAACATACTTTTTAAAAAAAAAACAATTTTGGTGTTTGGGGGTGAAGTTCGATTACCCAGGAGGCTTATTGATATGGAATTGCCCATTCCCTGGAAGTGCCAAGTAAATGGATATAATGCTTATTTAAATGTGTTTAGTATGTTATCAATTTAAGTGTGAATTATTTTCAATTCAGTACATATTTCTTGAGCAGCTGTTAGTTTACTTCATGCTTACATTTCTTGGTAACACACTGTGTAGAGTAATACAGGAGGCATAAGAGAATGTAGAACACAAGTCTCCTGCCTCTAGTACATTAATCTTTATAAGAAGATCTAATAGGTACTTGAAGTAATAATTAAAGAATATATACAGTGCCATTTATCATTGAAATTAGTATAAACTAATCAATCCAGTAGAGACCTGGATGTCCAGAGGAACTCTGTCTTCTCCCCCAGTTAATCCACTCAGCTCTGACCTCATCTGAGCTATCCTGATTACTTGATGAGTGACTAAAAACTCACTTAGCCTGTTTTTTATCTACCTGTCTCCAGACCACTGTTTGACCTCCCATTTAGCTATCCATAAGGAAACTAGGGCCTGTCCAGCTCAAGCATCCTATCTGCTCTGCCACTGTGAGAGTACTCTCACTTCCTTATGACCCTCCTTCTTCTTATCTTGTCCTAGGAAAAGTAGTCAAATCAGTGAACCATCTTTATTAGAATGATATAACAATTATTTGCCTTATAGAATTACCCTCAATTCCTGTGACTTCTTTCTGCAGGTCAAAACTCCCTTCCCTGGTTCCAACTTCTCTTACGTGTGTTATTTTCCACCGTTAGAAATAAACTTCTTATATAATTATATCTCCACTGCCGACCACATGTGCTGTTGTATAGTAGGTGCTTAATAAAGCCTTTTTCATTCATTTGATTATCAAGGGATCCCTGGAAGAAATGAATATGGTAAGAGTGATACATTTTTTAAAAGAAATACAGAATAACATCCTCTCTTTTGCATGTAATGTTGAATTAGAAACTCATTCCTATATTAACATTGTAGAGAATTTTTTTTTGGTATATAGCATACCATGGCATATTGTAAGGTTTTTTTTCCTTTGTAAGCTTTTTGAAGGAAATGTTTTGATCACCTGTTCATGACTGCACTCCTTTATTCATGTCCTTTTCCCTTTTGTTCTCAGGTAGTGTAATGCCCCAAATGGACGCTAGTATGCAGCTGAGTGATATTCATAAGTAAAAATTACTTTCCTATTAACAGCACTGTGAGTTTTTTATGTCGGCCAGGATATACTCTCAGTAAACCTGGGCCTCTTATCAGTACTTGTCAAGATGATGGAACGTGGTCACCTGTGTCAGGGTCTTGTAAAAGTGAGTAATTCTATCACATGTATTGTATCTTAGTCATTATTATTGGAATTTTTCATTCATTTATGTTGAACTACTGAATCCATATTCTTTCCTGTGATATTTTCATACTTAATTACAGGCTGCCATGTACTTTTGAAATTTTCATTGTTTACAGAGAATCTTTGTACTGTTGATTTTTTCAGCAATAATTTTCATTGATGCTTTCTGTTTTTACATCAATTATTTCAGAATGTTCTTTTCCACCCCACCCCCCCCATGAGGGACCTTTGTATCAGTGATCCATCCCTATAACAAAAAAAAAAACATTTACTTCAGCATGTTGAACATATGTAACATATGCATTATTTTGCACCCATAATTTCCCCTTCTCTCCACCAAAAAGGGGGATTCATTTTCTTCATCTCTTTTGGTACAAGTTTAGTGATTAAAATGACTTAGCAGTTGGCTTCCTTTTAGTGCTCTTTTCTTTTGTTATTTAGTTGAGTATATTTTCCTGTTCAGTTTATGTCATTCTGCATTACTTCATAGAAGTCTTCCCATATGTCCCTGGTCATCAGATGCATTTTTTTTTCAAAAATGAAAAGTTTTTCCAAAAAATTGCAAACTTAACCATATGAAAGAGTACAATTCTAAGGGCTGTGTGATAAGACAGGCACCTTAATATGCTGTTGCTAGAGCTATGAATTGATGTAACATTCTGAAAAGCAATTCAGAATTATGTGAGAAAAGTAATTAAATTCTACATAATCTTTGAGCCAGAGATTCCACCACTAGGAAAAGAATGAAACACCTCAATATTCACATGACATTCATATACTTTTGTTCAGCCATAGTCCAATCAATGGGAACCTATATTGTTTCTAATTTTTTGCTACCACAATTTGGTGCTATGAATATTTTGGAATTGGAACCAAATGAGCTACTTGGTCATTCAATATTTAGCTCTAGCAAAAAGCTGTTCAGTAAGAACAGGCATTGAGGTACCTGAAGTTGATTCAGCTGAGCCAAGCTCCCCTGTCTGAGATGCCTAGGGTGATCCATCACCCAAGCATTGGAGTTCCCTGAAGTGACTTCTAAGGCAGTGAGGAAGTGACATCAACAGCCTGAGCCTTAAGTTACCTGAGCTAATTAGGTCTTGAAAAAGCCTTCAGTACTTCAAAAGCTGTAAAATTTGCCCACCGGAGTGGGAGATGGGGTTAGGATATTGCTGTTTCCATGTACCATATACCACAATGAACCCAAAATGCTTGTGCAGCTTGGTTATTAAAAATCAGACCATAAAATAATTAGAAAAGAACTAGATCAGGTACCTTTTGCAGCTGCGGCTAGAGGGAGAATTCTTTAACCAAACAAGGTAAAAAGAGATGATCACAAAAGATAAAATCAGTAATTTTAGTTTACATGAAATTGAAAAGTTTTGGCATAATCAGTGCAATTAGGAAAAGAAGGGAAACTTTTGATTGAGGAAAAATCTGTATATCATGCCTATGATAAGGTCTGGTATCCAAATAAGGAACCCACACAAATGTTAAAACCATTTTCTAGTAAATCGGTAGTTAAAGATTATGAACATAAAAGTTCTCAAAAGAATTGCAAACCATTAACCATTTGAAAGTTTGCTCAAAATAGCTAATAAGGGAAATGCAAATCAGATAATACAAAAAATGAACATTTAAAAACCTGAGATTTCACCTCACACTCAGCAAACTGGCAAAGGTGACTAAAGATAGGCATAGTCATTATTGGAGGGGCTGTAACCAGGTATTATGCTGTTATGAGGCAGCTAGATGGCTCAGTAGATACAGCACTTGGCCCAGAGTCAGGAAGATCTGAGTTCAAATCCAGCCTGTGTGATTCTGGGTAAGTCACTTAACCTCTGATTACCTGACAAATGGATCCACCAGAGAAGAAAATGGCAAACTCCCCTAGTATCTTTGTCACAAAAATCCCAAATGGGTTCATGAAAGATGAGACACAACTGAAGTGACTGAACAACAACAAAGGCACCTCCCCAAGAGTGGTCCAAGAACTACAGGTCTTATTCATTCACATGTTCATAAAATACTCTCTTGTGCTAGCAAGGATGTGTGTTCATTAGGGAGCAGATCAACAAAATGCAGTGTGTAGATGTAATGGGATATCGAGGTACCATTAAGAAACAATATGAAGAATTCAGTAAGTTGTGGGAAGATTTATATGAATCGATGTAGAGTGAAACAGGTATAGCCAGGAAAACAGTGTCTAGTATTATGGCAGCGTAAGGGGAAAAGCTAAAGAATGAGATTGAATGCTGTGTAATTATAATGACCAAGATTAGCCCCAGGTAACAGCTGAGAAAATGTGCACACTTCCTTTTCATGTAGAGATGGGAAACTGGAGGTGTGAAACATGTGTACTCTGAAAAAGCTAACATGTTGGTTGGATTTTTTTTTTTGGGTGAGGCAATCAGGGTTAAGTGACTTGCCCAGGGTCACACAACTAGTAAGTGTCATGTGTCTGAGGCTGGATTTGAACTCAGGTCCTCTTTGACTCCAAGGTCAGAATCTACTGTGCCACCTGGCTGCCCCTTTTTTTCCCCCTCTTTTAAAATTTGTTATAAAGGTTGGTTCCATTGTTAAAGGAAACGTGAGGAATCTATTTGAAATTGAAGATTGCATAAAAATCAATTAAAAGTTAATTTTTTATAATAAAATTATATTCCATTAAAAAAGAACACTTCTTATCTTTTGACCTTCTTTAGAAGGGAATAGCTCTTGTCCTTTCATATTTATGTTAATTCCCTATGTATCTTGACTGCTAGATTTTTATCAGATGTTTGACGCAAGCTTTTTGCAGTTCAGAGTTTTTATTTCTATCTTAATTGTATTGATTTTGTTTGTGCAAAATTTTCTTAGTTTTATGTAGGCAATGTTGTCTATATTCTCGCTATTGATTGACCACTTTGTTGATTAAGAATTCTGCCTCTGAGGGGCAGCTAGGTGGCGCAGTGGATAGAGTACTAGCCCTGAAGTCAGGAGGACCTGAGTTCAGATGCATAACACTTAGTAGCTGTGTGACTCTGGGCAAGTCACTTACCCCAATTATCTCACCAAAAAAAAAAAAATTCTGCCTCTGGCCATAGTCTGCTTCCATTCTCCTCTGTTTTGTTATGACATGGTCTTTCATATTTAGTTTGCACGTCCATTGGGATCTTACCTTGGTATATGGTATAAGATACTGTTGTAAATAATCTGTCTTCCTCCATATTACTTTTCAGCTTTCCCTGCATTTCTTGATAAGTTATTTTCTTTGTAATTATCAACCTTACCTATGACCTGTAATGGCATCTATAACAGATGAATCAAGAAAATATTCTGAGGAATTGAGGATTTAGTTTGTATTTGGGCACAGAAAGAACTCATTTTAGTCTTTCAGTCATTGAGTCATACTGGAAAACATCAAGGAGCATGTAAGCTCCTGAAGAGCAAGGGCTGTTGAGTTTTTGTCTCTGTATTCTCAGCACCTAGCACAATTCCCAGCACATTGTAGGCATTTAATAAATGCTTGCTGGTTGGTTGGTGTCTGCTCTATTCTGTGCACGCAGCAAGTGGCATCATTAACATTCTTGTGGTGCTGAAATTGGAGACAGGAAACCTGTGATTGAGCATTGTGTCTGACACTTCATAGCTGGGTGAGAGGGGGCAAGTTACCTAGCCCTTTGGGGCCCCAGTTTCCTAATCTTTAAATGGAGATAATGATACCTGTTGTGCCTTCCACCTTGGGTCACTCTGAGGTTCAGATTAGGTGTTGTGTACATGCTAGATTGTTAGATAAGATATCTATAAAACACCTGATTTAAGGTATCTCAATGTTTTTCTTGCTATATAGATATCAATATCTGTATTCGTGTGTGTGTACCACTTTTAAAACTTTACAGTGCTATGTAAATATTAACTTTTTTTTTTTAACCAGAAAAGTCATGCCCAAATCCACAAGATTTAGAAAATGGTCAAGTTCATATACCAGATACCTCATTTGGTTCAGAAATTACATATTCTTGTGATGAAGGGTGAGTTGTTTCTTAAAAAAATGGAGTGTGAGTTAACTCAGTTTTGTTATTTTGTTTCACAATTTTTAGGGCTTGTAAAACATCCACTATAATAGGCATCCTTATCTGTTTGATTGTAATTAAATGATGGATTTATACTAGTAACTGTCATTGTGTGGATTCTTGAAGACAACCCTTCCTTATTACAGGCTCTGCCGATCCCATTAACGTGGAAAGGCATAGTGGTATGGCCCAGTGGTGGCCTGTATACTGAGTGCTCAAAGGCAAGTCCAGGGAAGTTTGGAAGTGGCTTTACTTGACTGACAACATGAACATGGCATTATAATAGAGTTACTCTCCATATTACCTGCTATTTGCAATCCTTTTTTCCCTGTCCAAAGAAAAATGAGAGGGAGGCTCTCATTTTATATATGTGTGTGTGTGTGTATGTATGTATATGTATATATGCACAGACATATATACATATTTTATATGTGTCTGTATATACATATATACATATATGTGTATGTATGTGTGTCTATATATGTGTGTATATATGTATATATGTGTATATGTATGTATAGGTATGTCCCATCTCATAGAATGGGATATAGTTTGTTATATTGGATGAGAGAGGTACTTCATCTGAGAGGTCCAGTCCCTATCCTTCTATGCTATTGAGTATCATAACTACTTATAATTATAAACATATTGCAAATATCTAGTTTGATAATGGTCACTGATGATTTTTGTCAGAGACAACCAAGTGAGCCTGTGGAAGGGAGCAATCATTAGTCTTGTTTAACTTGAGCTTCAGCCCAGGAGGCATTCCTGAAGGTGTTTACAAAGGAATTTGCTACTTTTTAGAAGATACACTCTTCACATTTCTGAAGGAGGCTGTTAGGGTAAGAACTTAATGTGCTTACCTGCCTCCTCTCTGTTCTGGAAATGCCCATAATAAGCCATGAGCAGGGAGTTCTGTCAGTGCCTTATAGCCTGAATGGTCATCATTTGCTTGATTATGATCCACCAGAATATTAGATTGCTGTAAGGTAATGGTGCTGTGATCCTACCAATGTTAAATATTCAAGAACTTGTTTGTTTTTTTTTGGAGAAGCGAATGTTGGAAAGAATTCAGTACTTACTGCAAGAAATCATAGTACAATTAATTGTAATTGTAATAAAATGTAATACATTTTATTCAACAAATATTTATTAATGCCTACTATGTACTATTGGAGATACAAAGATGAAATTGGAGTCCTCATGGAACTTAAATAGTTTCTCTATATTAGTAATATGGGGAAATTAATGGCAATATGGAAATAGATAACCCTGTAAAGGTATTTTCATTAACTCTCCTTCCTGTAGATACTGTTTACCTAATCTGAGTTAATAGATACTTTGTACATAGTGGCTACTAAATAAATATATTGGGTAGTGTATACTCAGACATAAAATGTGGTCCCTGCCCTCAAGTAGCTGACAGTCTATTTGGAGATACGTTATAGGCATATAAAAAAATTCATCATCTGAATGAGATTGGTATGATAGTAATACATAAAATAACCATATGCAAATAGGCACAGAATTTCTAGAGATTACTCTTGGTTGAAATGGCAAGGAAAGATTTCACAAATGACTAGCCCTGGAATGATATGGAAAATTAGGTAGGTGGTAGATATGATGAGGAAAGGGATTCAAGTTGGGATAAACAATGTAATAGTGAGGCATTTTGAAAATAAGGTCAGATGACAATTGAGAAAAACTATTTAGCAAGGTCAAATTCATGTTAAGCATGTTTACTCTTTGCTTATTTAAAGGTTAGGTATTGAGATACTGTAGGTGTCTCTATTTGGTTAAGTTGTAGGAGTTTCAATTGTTACTTTTATGATGTATTTCTTTTTTCTCAGTCTTTTTTTTTTTTGCAGGCAATGGGGTTAATGACTTGCCCAGGGTCACAGATAGTAGTAATTGTCATGTGTCTAAGGTCAGATTTGAGCTCAGGTCCTCACTTCAGGGCTGGTGCCACCCAGCTGCCCCCTGATATTTCTTAAATCTTTATCAATGCTTTGTTGTAACTGTAGTTTAGCAAGATAAAGGGTAATGTACCAATCTCCTGGCTTATCCCAGAAGTCTTATTGTCCTATAACATTTCCTCTTGTTTCCAGCTACACCTTAATAGGTGATGATGTTAGAAGGTGTGAGCTTGATGGAAACAGAGTTGTGTGGAGTGGTGCCATTCCATTTTGCAAAAGTAAGTAAATAATGGATTTATACACTTAAAGAATTTTTTGGATGTGTCTTTGTAAACTGTGTGGTGTTTATCTTTTAATGTTATTCAAAATGTAGATTGAAATTCATATTAAAATGTTATTCATCTTCAAATGGTCTTGACCTAGCATGGTAGTGCAGTAATCGTCATTACTGTAATTGGTTATGTTTCTAACATTCATTTGTGAACTATAACAATGTCCTAGGTTAGCGTACCAAAACACGTTTACTCATGATGTAACTGATATGCTAATGATAGCCTGAATTCTATGTCTTAAAGATTTAGAGAAAAGAGAGTATCATTTCTTGAGGAAAAGACGAAACCCATAGCAAAATTTAGAAATGGGCCTCTTTTCCTTTTACATCTTTCTATCCCCTAGTGCCCTTCATGCTGCCCAAAGACTCTGACACTCTGTATCCAGGCCCACCTTCCAAAATACTCCCTACTCTGAAATTATATACTTGTTCTTCCTTGCCTTTTCTGCAATCCATTTTCCTGTTCCTTTCATGTTGCCATCTCAGCTAGGAACACAACAGTTGGAACTAGTTCACACTGAATGCTTCCGTTCAATAATGCAGATATTTATTAAATGCCAGCCTGTAGAACACACTGTGCTAAGCACCAGGGATATAAAGATAAAGAACTGTTCTGTCCTCTGAGGCCTTTGCTTGGGGCAGCATTTAAGAGGAAGATGGGATATAACATTAAGTAACCAATAAGTTGAGCTGAAGAGTGAGAGGGTATTAACAACTAGGGGAATCAGGAAAAGCTTTCTGTGGTGAGAGTGGGAGGATAGCACCTGAGTTTGACCTGGGAGGAAGTCTAAAGATTTTTGGAAGTGAGGAAGGTGGGCATTCCAGGCACAAGGGGAAGCCTACACAAAAAGTGGAAAGGTAAGAAATGCAATTCTGAGTTCAGCTGAAACCTGGACGTGAGTAATTTGAAATAAGTCTGAAAATGTAGTCTGGAGACAGACTGTGAAAAAGTGTAAAGCTAAAGAGTTGGTATTATCTTGATCCTAAAGATAATAAGGAGCTATTGAGGCTTCTTTCACAAGGCAGTTACCTGACCAGACTGTGGTTTAGGAAGATTATTTTGGCAGCTCTGGATGCAGGTGACCAAATAGAAGTGTAATATATACAAAGTTCAAGAGACAATTTCCAGGTAATTAATCATTTTATTAAGAATGCTAGCATATTATTAATAAAAGGATGGTCATTTGGCTGTCTCTCAGGCCAAAGACGAATCATGGAATGAACTGAACTTACACTTACGTGCCCTTGGGAGAGTGGTGTTCCTTAGGGTGGAAATCAACTCTGATTCGTTAACAATTAATGAGAGAATTAAAATGAGAGGTGGACCTGTTCTAATGAAGGCTAGGGCACATGATTTTGATCCATTTACTTCCAAATCACCCCCAGCCTTGGGCAATTTAATCTAGGAATTTATCCCCACCCAAACCCCTGTAGAACACTGCTCTGGAATTCACCTAGATAAGATGGTCTAGGTGGGGTAAGTTTTTGGCCGAAGTCAGCAATGACCTTCAAAGACTCAGCTTCAAACAACTGGAAAAAAGCCTCTATCTTCCCCGTAACTGGTTATTACTAATCATTTCTCTCAGAAGGTTGTAATAATAATCCAGGTAAGAGGTGGTATTTGGATTACAGTGTATGGGTGGAGAGAAAGGGATGAAAGTAGAATTAAGTAATTGGATACAGGGGATGAGTTAGTGTAAAGAGTTTGGGATGACAAGCTGCAAACTTGGTTGGTTGGAAACACAGTGGTGTGTCCTCAACAGAAATGGGGAATTTCACAGAGAAGAGAGATGGGATTGGGGCTAAGATGCTGATTGTTTGTTAAGCCCTCTGGAGAGAGTTGTGTTCTAAAAAGAAGTAGTGTACTTAACTACATTAAATCTCTTAATTGGTGAAATTTCAGGCTTTTTTGACATAGTGAAATGGGGGAAAAACTTAGAAACATCTTTTTGAATTGGGAGATAAAATTCTAGTCAGGCTTTGTTCCCTTCAGTTTATTCCTGTTTTTAGAGCAGCAGATATCTATTAAATACCTATTATGTGCAAAGTCAGAAGCACTGAAATCAAGACAGAACTTTGGTCTAGGATTTACAATGTATGCTTGATAACACATGGACCCAGAAAAGTAAATATATGATCATTTGAGGAAAGAGAGGGCAAACTAACAACTTTGGGATGAGGAAAGGATTGCCAGAGGAGATAGCACCTGAGCTGAACCTTAAAGGAATAGAAGGAATCTAAGAGGTGTGGATGTATGAGGGTGAGGAGGAGTGATGAGTGAGAGCTGAGGAAGGGAGTTCATGCACAAAGGGCAGACTATACAAAAGCATACTGAAGTTGGACAGCCAGTAAAAGGTAATGAGGGGCTAACCTAGATTATTGACTATATGAGTGTAGAAGACAATGGATATCAGAGGAGTGGAGGTGGAATTGGCAAGACTTGGAAAGTCATTGGATATGAGGGAAAGGGTTTGGGAGAAGGATAGGTTAAAGATAAATTCCAGGGTTGCTAACCTGGGTAATTGGGAGGATGGTGGTACCCACAACTATAATAGGGAAGCTTCACAGCTCCTTCTCTTCCTCTGCTTCTGGAGCCACACTCTTCAAAGACTCACTTCACCTCCTTCACCCTCTTCTGATTTCACTGAAAGCCTCTTTAGTTTTCTCTTTCTTGGAAAGTACATTCACTGTACATAGCTATAGGTAAATAAGTGTCCTAATGCCTAACAAGCATGAGTCCAGCTCTTCTCTCTCACATTCTCTTCTGTTGGCTGGATCCTTTTTCCAAAGCAAAACTCATCTTTTACTTACCCAGCAAAAAAGCTTCCCCTAGGATGGTGCTCACAATGGTCCCACCTAGGAGCCTGGAACAGGCTGTTTCCAGGGCATGAAGAACAAGCACCATCTCTCTGTTCCTGCCAAACAGGTTGCAGTAATTATGATAAAACTGGCTTGATACCCTGGGGAGGCTGTGGGCAGGTGCTGCTCTTGGCCTTCTCTTTCTCTCAGCCTACCCCTTCACCTCTTTCACCTAATCCAGTAATTGGGCCAGTGCAACCTTAGGTTGAGTTTCAGCTAAATGGTTAAGATTTTCTGTGCCCTTCAATATAATGTTTTTGGTTCAGCAAGTGAATAAAAGAAAATTCTTACTTTTAATTTTTTTCCCCATAAGTTAATACTTGTGCACCACCTACAAGCATCGAAAATGGGAAGCACAATGGCGGCAACAAGGATTTCTTTACCTATGGTGAGGTAGTGACTTACCACTGCGATTCAAGAGGTCAGCATCCACTGTCGCTTATTGGAGATGCCAGAATTATTTGTGATAAAGATGGAGAATGGGATAAGTTGCCTCCTAAATGTAAAGGTAATGGATTTCTTTACAGTTTTTTCCTTCTTGATCTATAAATAGTAAAAGACTACTTAGAAAATACTTATAATGGGGTTTAGCAGTGTGTGTGTAGAGGCAATGCCTATCTCATGCTTCTTTTAAAATCTGCCTTTAACTTAACTCAGTTTGGCCGGTGTAGACTAAAAACCAGTTTTGTTTCTGGAAATGTTGTTACCTATTCCTAGGGCTGGAAATGATTTGTATGGTGTGTGCTTTTTGGGGTCTCTACCATGATTGTGTAGGTATTCAAGGTATTTTGATTAGAATTCTAATGAAGAAAAACAAAATCTGTACCAATATTTTCACATAAAAATTCACTACTAATTGTGAGAATATCATCACTACAAATAGAATGAAAATTTTCACTTACTGTTCCTACATGGTAGGTTTATATTTGTGTTGCTTGCTTGTCTGTTGAGTGAAGTTTACTGATTCAGCTTTAAAGAAGTTTATTCATCACCCAAAGAACCAGAGGTGGTGTTAGGATACATGTTACTCTGTGATGGTAAGTGCCTTAGTCACTTAGACCATGCTAACAGGTTTAAGCCATAGGCCTGGCTAAGTTTGAGAAAGGAACATCTTTTTTCTACAAACATTTTTAAAATTACCTTAAATATAACTACTTTAAAAGAACCAAAATTAAATACTAGTATTAACAAGTTCTAAGTTAATGATGTTATATATAGATGTAATAGCTAATAATATAAAAATTTTAATTTAATAGCTAATAATATAAAATTTTTAAGAAAAAAGATACATTGTGCCTTTGGGTCTCTATTTCTTCATTCATTCCCTCATTTATTGATTTGATTGACTGTTATATTGATATTATATTGATTGTTATAAAGCATAGTTTTGATCTGACTTTGGTTTTATTTCCAGAGAGCTTAAATAGATAGTTCTTTACTAACTTTCCTTGTGTCCTTACATTGAAGTCATATCCTATCTAGGACTTATCCAAAGCTCTGGAGCTCTAGAAAAGCAGAACATCAAAAACCCTTGTAGGTTTTTACAAGTGTAAACTTGGTGATAATTTAGTTTCAGGCAGTACTTAACAAACTAGTTTTGTATCCACAGCTTCCCAGCCAGATGCCCCCCCCACACTTTTTTTTAAACATAATGATACTAACAAGTGTTTTCAAATACTAAAGAAAAAACTGCTTTAAATTATTTCCCCACCATGGAGTTGTGAACTAGTCTAATTCTGGAAAGCAATTTGGAACTGTGACCCAAGGGCTATAAAATTGTGCGTACCCAGGGGCAGCTAGATAGCACAGTGGATTGAGCACCAGCCCTGGAGTCAGGAGGACCTGAATTTAAATCCAGCCTCAGACACATAATGCACACTAGTTGTGTGACTCTGGGAAAGTCGTTTAACCCCAATTACCTCACCAAAACGCCCCCCCAAAAAACTGCATACTCTTTGACCCAATAATACCACGACTCTATCCCAAAGGCTTCAAAGAAAAAGGAAAAGGACATATATGTACAAAAATATTTATAGCGGCTCTTTTTTTGGTGACAAAGAATTGGAAATTGAAAGGATGCCCCATCTGGAATGGCTGAACAAAGTTATGTGATTGTTATGGAATACTATTGTGCTGTGTGATGAATGAATGAACTGATACAGAATGAAGTGAGCAGAACCAGGAACCATTGTACGCAGTAGTAGCAATATTGTACAGTAACCAACAGTGAATGACTTAGCTATTCTGATGAATACAATCATCTAAGACCATTCTGAAGGACTTGGAATGGACCTTCAGAGAGAGAACTGATGGAGTCTGAGTACAGATTGAAGCATAATTTTTTTTTCATTTTTAAATTTTTTCTTTTTCCTTTTTTTTTTTTGCAACATGGCTGGTATGGAAATGTGTTTTGTATAATTTCACATGTATAATTGATATCATATTTCTTGCCTTGTCAGTGAGTGGGGAGGGGTATGATGGAAGGAGAAAATTTGGACTTCATAATTTTTTGTTAAATCTGTGCTAAAGATAATAAATTTATTTAAAAACTTTCCCCACCATACATACAGGCAGAAAATAAGCAGGCTTGAGTTGCACTGTAACCTGAACTGTAACTGTTCCCTGAACCATTCCCAAACTTGCATGAGATTTATTGTGAGAGTTTAGGGGCAAGATGGGAGTGAGCAAACTAGGTTAAGGATTGATTGGATGTCAGGCTAGGTGTAATGTTTTCTCTCCTATGATATATTAATAGTTAGATCAGGGTAATTGGGGAATTTGAAAGATGAGTACAGCCAATGCAGGATATTCCTACATTTTATATGAAAACCCCTTCATGACCCATGTGCTCCTATCACAGAAAGTTTATTTTCATTTGACCTTTATTAATTTTTTTTGTTTCTTTTAAAGAGAAATCTATCAAATTTTTCCTCTTTCTGGTAAGTGGCTTCTTTTGCAGATGAAGTTCTCCCTACAAGTCTCTTGCCTTTTACAAACTGCCTTTGATTCAAGATCTTTCAAAAAGTGATTTGTATTTCCATTCACAGACCTTTTGTCTTGACACTTAAAATATAGAAAACTTAAGGTTTTAAAAAAAATTCAATGATTTCATTACAAAATTTTATTCTTTTAATTATTGGGAGGGATTTATCATAGATTATATAGATGGTTTCATTGACCCATCAACTCAGCATGAAAAAACATTTCATGAGCCAAACTAAATTCAACTTGGTATACATTTACTGAATACCTAATTCAATAGGACTAAGTCTTAGAGGCTTAAACAACCAGAGGAGATTAAAAAAAAATGAATAGGAAAACTTAACTATAAGATGGTAATCAACTACCAAAGAATTATTTTATACACTAGAAAAAATAGCAAAATTCATCTGAAAGAACAAAAGGTCAACAATATTGAGGGACTCAGTGGGGAGAGAAAAGTAAAGGAAGGCAGCCTAGTAGCACCAGATGTCACATTATACTACAAATCAGTAGTCATTAAAACAGCCGAGTACTGGATAAGAAATAAACATATCTACATTAGTAAAATAGCCACAGTAACTTGGTATTTGATAAACTCCAAGATCCAAGCTATATGTTAGGTTAAGAACTCACCATTTGCCAAAAACTGCTGGGAAAATTGGAAAGCAGTCCAGCAGAAACTAGGCATAGACTAACATCTCACACCACATACCAAGATAAGCTCAAAATGGTTCATGATTTAGACATAAAAAGTGAGATAAGCAAATTACTTTCAGATTCATGGGTAAGAGAAGAGTTTATGACCAAACAAGAGATGGAGAGGATCCTATGAAGTAAAATGGATAACTTGATTTACATTAAATTTAAAGGCTTTTTGCACAAACAAAACCAATGCAGCCAAAATTAGAAGGCTAGCAGGAAACTGGGGGAGAAAATTACAGCAGATTTCTTTGATAATTGTTTGATTTTTCAACTATATAGGGAACTAAGCCAAATCTATAAAAATAAGAGCCATTGTCCACTTGATAAAAGGTCAGGCAGACTTAGAACAGGTAACTTTCAAAAGAAGAAATCAAAGCTATTACTAGTTATTTGAAAAAATGCTCTAAATCACTACTGATTAGAGACATGCAAATTAAAACAACTCTTAGATACTGTGAACCCCTCAGATTGGCTAACATAACAGAATAGGAAAATGACATGCTGGAGCAGATGTGGAAAAATAGGGACACTAAGGACACTGTTGGTGGAGTTAAGAACTGGTCCACCCATGCTAGAGAACGATTTGGAAGTACATCGAAAGGGCTATCAAGCTGTACGTATACTTTGACCCAGCAATACTGCTACTAGGTCTGCACTCCAAAGAGATGAAAAGAAAAGGACCCGCATGTACAAAAATATTTATAGCAGCTCTTTTTGTGTTGTCAAAGAATTGGAAATCAAAAGGATGCCCGTCAGTTAGGGAATGGCTGAACAAGTCATGGTATGTAATTGTACTGGGTTACTTTTGTGGTATAAGAAATGACAAGCAGGATGGTTTCAGAAAAAACTGGGAAAGTTTATATGAACCCTCACAAAAGGAAATGAGCAGAAATTCTACATAATAACAATCATATTGTAACAAGAATGAACTGTGAATGACTTTGCTGTTCTGATCAATACAGTGTTCCACAAAATAAAGGGTTCATAATATAGGATGCTATATCTACTTCTAAAAAGAGAATTGATGAATTCTGAGTGTAGATAGAAACATATATTCTTTCACTTTATTTTTCTTGCTTTTTTTTTCTCTTGCAACATGGCTAATATGGAAGTATGTTTTATATGACTTCATTCGTATAATTGGTTTTGTATATTCTTGTCTTCTCAATGGGTGAGGGAGGGACAGAATTCAGAAGTGAAAATTAAAAAAAAATTTTTTAAGTTTGCATTTGCTCTGAAATGAGAATTTATTACATTATGGAATTTAAGAGCTTAAAGGAACCATGAGTATCACTTAATCTAAACCCTTATTTTATAGATAAGAAAACCAAGCCCCAGTGAGGGGGCCTGGTATGTCTAAGCCCGCATTGGGAATCTGGTCTTAAGTAGGAGAGAAGCAGTTTGATCCTAAGTACCCTTAGTTCAAATCCTGTGATCTTTTTACTACACCTTGAGTTCTTTGGAATGTGATATATCTGGAATCAAAATGTCATTTACTTGTTATATTTTAATCATGTTTATCATTTATTTTAATGTTTGTTATTGTTGTGAATAGTTTCCTAGTTCTGCTTTTACTGATCTACTCCTGCTTCTTCGAAGGAAACTTTTGAAAAACTTTATAAATTTTCTTTTTTAGAAGTCAAATGTAAAACTCCAAAAGTTGACAATGCAGTCCAGCTAACAGGATTTGGATCCTTTCATACTTACAAGGACACAATTATTTTCGAATGTGAAGATGGTTATTTCTTCTTACGAGGTAACGGCAGAATTACTTGTGAAGCTGATAGTAATTGGAGCCCTGTACTTCCAGTTTGTTCTGCAGGTACAAAAATCAGTCTTTTACTTCTTTCATTTTGCTACTTCTAACATGAGTAATAATAGATAGGGACTCTAAAAAAGTCATTGTTTGTCACATTGTATTCATTTGCTGTGGTGTGCATATTTGCCAATATATCTTGATTTAACTGTTAATATTTTTCAAGCCTCACCTTAATTGTTGCTTATTATTTGAGGACACTTGTTCATTCTCCTAGTTTTAGTGTTCACTTTCATTCCCCCCAGAATAAGACTTTCTATTTCCATTTGTATATATATTTTGTGTTTATTTAGTGCATGGAATCAGGTGTTTAATACACAATTTAGACTTTGACCTAGACTTTTCTGGCTTTCAGACAAGATCTCTATCAATCCCAGTGACTCTTTGCCCCTAACAGTCATGTCAGCTCTATTTTCTGTACCCTACTGCCTACTCCCTTATTCATATTCACCTCCGTCATTCTGTCCACCAAATCAATGTTCCATTAAGATCTACCCACTCTTTGCACTTTTGTTTTTGCAATGTTAGCAGCTCTATAGGGGCAAAACTTGCTTTCATCTTCAACCTTTTCCTTGCCCACTCCTTCCATCTTCTTTCATTTTTCTGAAGCCTGGCTCCCTTCTAGTGACACAGCTTAACTTGTCTACCCTTTCTAGCACTAGTTGTACTTTCACTCTAGCCCTCCCTGTCACTGGTCATGGTTGGGGATTTGAGATTCCCCTTGCTCCCTGTGGCCTCTTCTATGCCATCGATTTATTTACCACCATCAATTAGTAACCTCTCCTCCTTTGAAGTTCATTCACTCCACACCTACTACCTAATTAAGATGGGTAACTGTTTTCTGCCAACTTCTAGAACATTCTTTTTCTTTCCTCACTGAGTTCAGCGTCTGGCTCACATCTTTCCACTCCCCAGCTACTACCCTCATACTAGGGAATGTCAGCACACTTATTCATACTCCCTCAACCACCTTTACCTCCATTTTCTTCAGCTTACTCTTTTCCCATGACCTGATTCTTACCCTACCTCAGCTGTACGTAGAGACAGTCATACCTTTGATCTTGTCTCCACTTGTAAGTGTTCCATTTTCATGTCCATGAATGCCTTCTCTGATTCCCGTCAGCTGTCATCCTACCTCTCCTTCTTTTTCAGCCCCAAATCTTGTTCTTTGTTCACACCATGACCTCCAGTCCTTCCACCTCTCAGTTCTTTTCCAGGATATCACCCATATGTTGTCTTCCCTTGCCCTCTGTGCCCAGCTTGACCTATTGATGAACTAATGCCATGTTATACTATCCTCTTGAGGCCCTTGCCTTCTTTTTCCCTTTCTAGTCTTTCTGTGCCAAATCTCAGCCTTGGATTTCTCCTACCATCTGTTGTCTTTTGCTCCTACTCATGTGCTCCTAAATGAAGCTGGAGAAAATCATAAAACCATGCTAACTGGGTCCACTACAAATCTATATTATATTATCTCAACTGGGCCCTCAGTACTGCAAGGCATTCTTTTTATACCTCTCTAATCAATTCACCATCCCACTCACCACAGCAGCTTTTTCAGACCTTTCATCCCTCCTCAAACTTCAGTTATTTTCCCTTACCTCACTCTCTAAGCTGAGAACTTTGCCTCTTATGTCACTGAAAAAAATTGAGGCCATTTGCCAAGAGTTCCTCTTATCCCTTCTTCTTCATCTTGTATCACTCAAATGTCTTCTGCTGCTATCTCCTTCACTCCTGTGTCACATGAAGGTTTGGTTTTTTTCCTTGCCAAGACTAGCCCCTCTACCTGCAGAAGTGATCCTACTCCATCTCTTCTTGGGACTTGACCCTTCTGTCATCCTAGCTCACTCATTAATCTTTAATCTTACCCTGTCTACTGGTTGTGTCCGTGATGCCTTCAAACATTCTCACATCTCCCCTTTCCTCCAAAATCCCTTATTTGATTTGTTCATCCTTTCTAGCTATTATCCCATATCTCCTCCCTTTGGTGGTTAAACTACTTGAGAAGGCCATCAAGAATTGGTGTTGCCACTTCCTTTCCTCTTACTCTCTTCTTAACTCTTTGTAGTTTAACTTCTGACCTCATCACTCAACTGAAAATGCTTTCTCTGAAGTTTCCAGTGATTTCTTAATTGCCAAATCCAATAATCTTTTCTCAGTCTTCATCCTTCTTGACTTCTCTTTCAGCCTTTTATGCTGTTGATTATCCTCTTCTCCTTGGTAGTTTCTTATCTCTAGGTTTTCATGACACCAGTCTCTCCTGGTTTTCATCCTGTCCAGTCACTCCTCAGTCTCTTTTTCTGTCCTTTAATCCCGGTCATGCCCTCTAACTGTGGATGTTTCTTAAGGTTCTGTGCTGGGCCTCTCTTCTTTTCTTTCTCTAGTAATTCATTTGGTTATCTCATCAGTTCTCATGGATTCAATTATTCCTTTTCATATGATTCCCAAATCCACTTATCCAGCTTTAACCTCTCCTGACCTTCAGTTTCTCATCTCCATCTGCCTCTTGCACATTTTGAAATAGGTATCTCACAGATATCTTAAACCCCACACGCCCAAAACTACACTCATCTTTCCACCCCAAACCTCCTTTCTTCCTAACTTTCCTGTTACTGTCAAAGGCATCACTACCAAGTTCACCAGGCTTGCAATGTAGGTATCATTCTTGACTCCTCGCTTGGCAACATACTGGATGTGAGGCAATAAAAGCTAAGTTCTGTCTGTTATATCTTCACAACATCTCTTGAGTATGACACTGTCTTTCTTCTGACATTGCCAGTACTCTAGTACCCTCATTAACTTATGCCTAAACTTGTAGTAGCCTCCTGGTTAGTCTCCCTGCCTCAGGTCTCTCTCTCTACTCAGTCCATCTTCCAGTCGGTTGTCTTCTTAAAGTGCAGGTGTAATGTGCTCTCTCCCCCCCTCCCCCCCAATGCCCACCCATTTATTTAACCCAGATCCAATAAAATCCTCTGTTTAATGTTTAAGACCTTTCATAACCTGGGCCTCTTCTGTTTTCAGTTTTCTTAAATGCACTCCTCTTCTTGTATACTCTGAGATCCAGTGACACGGATGTCCTTGCTGTTCCTTGCATAAGACACTTCCGTCTCCCAACTGTAGACATTTTTCTGACTGTCCCCCATACCTGACTTGTCTCCATCTCTTGTCCTTCCTGGCTTCTGTAAAGGCTGAGCCAAAATTCTATCTGCAGGACTTCCTTTATTCCCCTAAATGCTAGTTTCTTCTCTCTGTTGATTTTCTCTGATTTGTTTTATGTGTGTATGTATGTATGTGTGTGTGTGTGTGTGTGTGTGTGTGTGTGTGTGTGTGTATGTATGTGTGTGTGTGTATATATATATTATATATATATATATATATTATATATATATATATATATATATATATATATATGTATATTTTTTTTCCTGCCTTTTTTTATATCCACAGGTCTTAATGCAGTGCCTGGCCCATAGCACACACTTAATAAGGAGTTGTTGACTGACAATAAAGAAAAATTACAAGAATTTTTATTTAAGGAAATGAAAAGGCAGAACATAACTTTACTAATTAGAGAGGTAGCTCTTAAACTTTTTGACATCTGCTTTTCTTTTTGAATTTCTAGAACGTCCCAGTACTGAACCACCTTACCCAAGTCGTCCAGGTACGGTAATTCCTCATTTAGTATATATTGTTAAAAAACATCTTACGTATTTTGAGTTATCTTTCATTTGCCATCTTCACTGAACCGAAAATTCAGTGGTGATACAAATGAAGTAAGATGTACAGTGAAAAGGGAAGGCAAAAAGGCTAAGGTTCAGTTCCTCCCCTATGCCTATTTCTGGTGGTATTTAATGACCCTTGCTGATTAATCTTCAGTAAGGTAACATGGCAGTGCCTTTTATGGAATTCGTCAGAGAGTTCTTCATTTTTCAGAGTTCAGTCCATTTGTTGTGTTCTGAACTGTTGAAGGTGCTCTGAGCTTGGAAACTGTTCTGATATGACCCATGCAGTATTCCTAGCACTCACCTGACACTCTCTCCTGATTTTACTCAGAACCTTCCCCTACCTTACTGTTGCTGGGACAATGAATGGGAATAACAGTCTACCTCTGTAGATGACAACCTAGACATTTCATTAGTCATAGAATCATAGCTGGAAGAGGCCTTGGAGGCCATTTAGTTCAGTCCCCTCATTTTATAGATGAGGAAAATGAGGCCCAAGGAAGGAATGATCATACAGGTAATGCAGCTTAAATTCCCATTGAAGTACAAAGGTCCTCCAAAATCTTATCAAGTAAATATATAAGATTTTGAAATTCTTTTTTTTTTTTTAGGCATTAACCACTCAGTAAAATGCTTAGGTAGTGTTTATACTTCCCATAAATACTATCCCATTTCCAACATTCATTTATCCCTCTGCCCCAAGGTTTCAAGAGGAAATGTCCATTATTTTTCACCTCTTCCAGATTTATTTCTTCCATGTTGGGGGGCTTTGATTTGTAGTTAGGGTAGAAAGCATATGGTAATTGATGATGAAGTGGGATAAATACCGTTTTCTAGAAGTAAATACAAAAGGATGTGCATTGTCAACAGTTCTGAGCCTGCTAGACTCTGTCCAAGGGGAAATGTACTTCTGACTACGGCACTTGAGTGTTGTTTTGACGATCAAATGTGATAACATATCAATATTTTGTAGACCTTAAAATGCTTACATAAATGTTAGCTCCTGTCAACAATGATAAAAAATTTGCCTTGAATTTTTTTTTTATAGCCCTAGGAAAGGGCTATAAAATATCTGGGCTAGGAATTATTCTTATATACTGGCAAATACTGTAATTGCCATAATCTTTGCTCTAGGATTCCCATATAGGATATAGGTATGATAATACCCAAAGGCTATGGATGTTGATTCTATGAATTCTTGTGGGACATAATATAAAATAATAGCTTACATTTTATAAGGATTAATTTTGTTTATTGGCAGTCACTTTTACTCATTGGCAACTCATCTTATGCTTTCATGTCCATTATAAATAAATGTTTATTAATGTAGTTCACCCTAATAAATAACCCACTGTTTATTTAATTTGATTTGTTTAGTTTTTCATAGGAGTTGAGCACCCATGTGCTTTATATATGTTTGTAAAGTTTCCATAGTAATAAGTGGAGTTTACAAATTAATGAATAGAAAAGAATAGTAATTGGTTAATAATAATCCACGGTCATTATGCAAAGAGACACTGGAGTTTTTGTTTCTAAAGTTTAAAAGTAAAAAACTTTAACATTATTCTGATGAAGCTAGAGCAATGGTTTCTAAAATAGGGTTTTTGTTGTTGTTGTTTTTAATTAAATCTGCGTTTCTGGGGTGGGGGGGGACGGGGCCTTTTCTAGGATCTACCAGTACTTCCCAACAAGAACCACCTGTCTCAAGTAAACCAGGTTCAGTAATTCCTCATTTAGCTTTTTTTATAGAAATTGTAGTTGTTTATGATGCTTTTATCCCATCATCTTTTATGGCAAAGCTGCCTTGCTCTTCCAGGGCTTTTCCCATTCTTCAGAATACGTGTAGTTTGGTATATTCCTCATTCAACAAACACTTATTAAATACCTATTATAAGCAAACGTCTGTAGTAGGTTAGAGCAGTTCTGAGATGACCAGGGAAGTTCCCCATTCCCTTGTCTTAAGTGAACCTCACAGTAGACTGATCCTTTTCAAAAAAGTAAATGTTGGTATCTGTTGTCTCACCCACATTTTCCAATGCATCCCTTCCAGAGAAGAGTCTTCCATAACAATAAATTAAAAAGGGGGAAAAAAAACAGTTCAGCTAACTAGCACATTGATTTTTCTACAACTTTAGTCCCCACCACTGCGTAGCAGAAGAAGAAGGTGCTTTCTCATATCTCTACATTGGGACCTACTCAGTCATTGTAGTATCTCAGCATTTACATAGTCATAGATTTTGAGAGTTGGAAGGGACCTCAGAAGTCATCTCATCTATCCGCTATACCAAAGGAAAGCCCACTATAACATTGTTTGTTCAGCTTCTGCTTGAAGACCTCCAAGAAGGAGAACCATCCACCTGTTAGGCCATTCCCCTTTTGAACAGCTCTAATTGTTAGGAAGTTTGTATGACAGCAAGCCTAACTTGTCCTCTTTACCACTTAGAGCTCTTTGCTTATTGTGCTGTCCAGTGGGACCAAAATATAACAAGTTTAATCTGTCTTACAAAGACAGCCCCTCAAGGTATCAGTGAAAGATAACACATCATCCTTGAATCGTCTCTTTCTGGCTAACTGTCACCAGGTTCTTCAACTAATTTTCATATGACCTGAACACAAGGCCCTTCACCATTCTGGCTGCCCTCCTGGAAACTCTGACTTGTCAATGTCCTTCATAAAATGTGGTGCCCAGAAGTGAGCCCAGTATTCTAGATAGTGTAATGAAAGTCAGAGTACAGTGGAACTATCAAATCCTGAAAGCCCTGTTTTTCTTGGTGCAGCCCAAGATCATGTTAGCTTTTTTGGTCTGTTTCAATATGTCATTGATTCATTAAGCTTATACTACAATGAAAGCGTCAGATGTTTTTTAGAATAACTCTTGTCTGTCTATGGGTTACCAATTTCATACTTGTGAGGTGGATTTTTTTTTTGTATCTAAGTACAGAATTTTGCATTTATCCTATTTGAATTTCATCCTATTGGATTTAGCCATGTTATAACTTATCAGCATTCTTTTGTTTCTTGTCATTTTTTTGTATGAGTATCTCTCTCAGATTTCTGTCATCTACAGGTTTGAGTATACCATCTCTGCCTTCATCCAGGGCATTGATTAAAGTGTTAAAAAGCATAGATGTCTGGAGTATGCCACTGGAGACCTCCCGCCATATTGACATTGAAACAATAACTCCTCTCTGAGTCCAAACACTTGTGAATCCATCTGACTGTTCTTTCTGAACTCAAGGGTCAAGTAACTTGAATTCAGCAAGGTCATCTAGGTTTTCTTCCTAGCTCTTTAACTTGAGTATTAACTCCCTGGTAGTAATTTTTATTCTCTCATTTCCAATGTGAGGGACATCCTCTTGTGCAAAGAAAATAGAAAACCAAATAAGGGTTGTGCACCCTGCCTTCTCTTTGTTGTCAGTTTTCATTATCCATCTGCACCAGGAAAGGTCCTGTTTTGGGGGAGTGAGGTGGCAATCTGGGTTAAGTGACTTGCTCAGGGTCACACAGCTAGTTAAGTGTCTGAGTTTCAACTCAGGTCTTCCTGAGTTCTATCTACTGAGCCATCTAGCTGCCCCAAAGGTCCTACTCTTTGATCTTCTTTTGTCTCCCAAAGTACCAAAACAAAACAAAAAACTACAAGAAACTAGGAAAGAACTAGAAAGTAAAAGTGTTCAATTGAGGGATGGCTGGACTTTGAATGGAATAAATGATTATTCTTTATCATTAATAAATGATAAAAGAGACATTTTCAGAGAAAACTGAGAAGACTAGTGTGAGCTGATACTGAGCCAAGTGAGCAGAATGTGGACATTTTATACGCATTGTAAAGAAAAAAACAATTTTGAAAGACCTAAGAACTCTGATCAATATAACAACCAGCTGTGACTCCAGAATAAGTCTGCTTACTCCCTTCCTAACAAGAGAGGTGATAGACTCAAGTTGTACATGAAGACATACATTAAAACACTGTTTTGCTTTACTATAAGTTGGGGTCCTCCCCCCACCTTGGAGGGGATTTAGATGGGAGAGGTGTATGAGTGATTATGTTGCCAGAAAAGAAGAAAGAAAAAAGTCACTGACCCATTTTTTTTAAATGCACCGAGAATTGATCAATATTTATCCAATTATATAAATTCTTTAAAAATATTCCTTAAAGGAATAATTATATCTATGTAGTTACTAAGTATTCTTTGGAATATTGGCTCCTATGTATTTTATGTATTTTGTAATTATTTTAAATGAGACTTTTTCCTTTTACATTTCCCTTCTGGATCTTATCACTATGTGGAAATGCTATTAATTTCTGTGAGTTTATTTGTAACTTTATACTTTACTGAAGTAATCAGTTGTTAGAGTTTATTGCTTCTTAAGTAAATCATGTCATCAGAAACTAGGGATAGTTTAGTTAACTCTTTGCCTTTTAATATCTTGTTGGTATTTCTGGAACCGTGTCAAATTATAGAGACTTTATTCCTGTATTTATTGGGAAAGCTACTAGCATTTTTCCACTGCATATAATGTCAGAATCGATTTATAAAATTTCAGTGATAAAACAAAACTTTAACAGCTGATAAAAAGTTTGCAAGAGTTTTCGTTTTAGCAGATGAAAGGTAAAACAATATTGTTAGGAATCACTTTACTCATCTCAATTGTTGACTGAAACTGCTTTCCTTTTTGTCGTTTCCAGGGCCTTCGCTTCCTCCCAATAAAGAACCACAAGGACCAAGTTCAGTAACTCCTCATGTAATAATAATCATGCAGATAGAAAAGTTATTTGCTATGGCCCAAATTACTTTGTAATGAAGAGGAAAATGTTAAAGGCTAGAATATTTTTTCAGTCTTCTCCTGTTCTCACTTCTGTGTAGTGGCTCTTGCTGGTTATTGCTTGGTAAAGTGCTGCTTCTGATGCAGGACTTCTTAACCTTTTTTGTGTCAGGCTTCAAACAGTGTCTGACACGTAATAGATGTTCAATAAATACTATTGACTGTGGTAGGCAAGTGAAGTCTATGAATCTGTTCTTAGGTAAATACTTTTAGTTTAAATAAAATATATATATTTACAAAGGAAACTAGTTATTAAAATACAGTTAACAAATTAAAAATAAAAAGTTTATAGACCCCAGGTTAAAAAACTTTAATAAGTGAGATGCACCATCAGCCTAGAACTTTTCTTTGACCAGAATGAAATTAATTTGTTGCTTCCTGGACCTTTAGGTACTCTTAACCTTAAACAATTTTTCTATCATCTAAGCAGATCCTCTAATACTTATCTCATCTGTTACTTAATGTGCACATCCTGTATAGAGTTCTCTTTATGATATTTTGGAAATAGTAGGCAAGAAGAAATAATATGAAAGTTCACAAGCTAAGTTAATGTGATTTTTGACTAATGGTTCCTGGTTTTTCAGGGTCTCATTTTTTGTTCTGTCACATTCTTTGGCTTCATTTCATTCCAAATCTAGGTTAAAGCCCTAATAATTCTTTTAATTTTTAATTTAATTTTTTTTAGAGTTAGTTTTTCGCAATATTATACTACTAATAATTCTTCACAGAAAAATTCTTCATGCCTCAATTTTGTTAGTGAAGGAGAAAGATGTCACATTTAAATTTGATTCTGGTCTTCTTGAGGAGCAGTAAAATTTAAGCTTTGGTAAATGGTACATGGTGGCCTGAGTCACATAACTACTCATTTGTACTTTTTGTACAAATCTGTAAGTTGAATTGTATATAAATATTTCTTCTTCAATTTTCACAGGTGCCTGTTTAGATTCCCAGATGTGAACTCAGTGCATGTGTTCTGACATTTTGTGAACATTTTTAGAATTGCTCATCTGTAGGATAGGACCTTACCTGGTTTTAGATGTTCGGCTAACACTGCAATATACGTTTTCATGGACAGGTACTCTGAGGTTCCTAAACTTAAGTGTAATTGGGACATATTTTTCATTAATATGAAAACCAAGCCTAACCCAGATACTACAGGAAACCATAGAAATGGATACTGCCATAGCATAGTGAAGCATTAACTTATTTTTCTTCTGCTTCAATCATTGTAATTAACATTTACTAAGCACCTACTCTTAGTAATGCACACAAAAATATAAAACTAGGTTGCTGCTCTCAGTTTTCTATATCACAGTTTCAAAGCTAATTAAAAGTTCAGTGAGTTCAATGAACTTGGGGCTTTACAAGCAGTTCTAAAAGCCACTTATAAATTGTTTAATCATTTTTAGTGTTCTATCTTATACACTATAGAGATGAAAAAATGCACAGTATTTCATGCTGAATTACTTTAATGTTTCTTAGGTTTGGGCATCATTATCGTGATAGTTCTTACCATAGGTAAGTAGCACAAAATCTTAAGAATCTTGTTTTAAAGTGAAGCCTATGTGGTTTAATGGGAAGAAAGCAGAATTATTTGTTTTATTTTGTTACTGTTCACAGTTATCATTTGGTCTTGTAGATTAATGGTCTCCAAACATTTTTGATTACTTTTGTGTATCAGTGAAAATTTATTGAGTTTGCATTCCTCAGTATATATGTTTATTTATAAATTAAATGCTGTATTAATGTATTATTCTCATTATTAGCCACACACAAAGTGGAAATTAAGGATGAGATTTAAAATTGGAATAATATTTATTTTAAAAGTCATTAATGCAAAAAAACCCTTTGCTCATTCTAAAATTATTAGCATCTTTAGTGAGAACATTGTTAGTAATGATTTAAAGGTATGGCTCTGAGCTCAGTTTAATACTTGATTTTAATGGATTTCATAGCTGAAAACTATATACTACACAAAAGTATGTCAAGTTGTTAAGTCAACAGTCATTTATTAAGTTCTTCTTATGTGCCAAGCCCTCTGGCTAAGCACTTGGAATACAAATACAAGCAAAAAGAAAGATGGTCTTGCCCTTGAAGAGGTTACATTCTAATAGGGGAAGATTGTGCAGAAAAGGAAGCTGATAACAGGAGGAGGGGGCTTGGTGGAGAAAGAAGTTAGGAGTGGAATGAAGGTGTGACCCTGACAGGTGTGGGCACTTTGCTTAAAATGGAAGTTCTTGGAGAAACTGACCAATTAAAGGCAGGTGCCCCAGTGGTCTGCTAGGATGAGAAGGCTGCTGAGGGCTGAATGTTTTTGCTGTACGAGAAGACTGGAGAAAGAAGTCTAGAGCCTCAGATATGTAGATACAGGTGGAAGAAGTGCATGTTGACTAGTTTACCACATCAAGCTATTCTTTGGTCTTATCCACCAGTTATCCAGTTTGTTGACATTGCTTTGGTAACTTTACATATTCCTTGAGGTCAGTTATTCTTGCAAACTAATTGAAAGGTTTTGCATTCTATTGCACTTTTGGAAGATTTTTTAAACAGGATAGAAAATTCTCTTTCCAGGTTAAGTCCATAAATGAATTCTTGTGACGCATATTGTTTTAAGGAAATAGAAGCTTAGGTTTATGCTTTTTCAAGTTGTGATGGCTTAAAATACTGTTTCAAAACAATTTTTTTAAAATTTTGATGGTTTTATAACTATCACTAGCTAATGTCTTGAAGTTCAGCATACACTTGGCTTAGGAAAACTAATATTTCCAATAATTTTAATTTGAGTTTTTCGACTGGCTGTCCCATTTTATCAGATTGTTTTTTAGCTTGCCTGTGTGGCTGTTGAAGTTTGTTGCAAGAGTAGAAGTGTAACCTCTGCTATTGTTGTTTGCCTGTACTCACATTATTATCTTCAATTTATAGCAAAGGTTCCCAAAGTTATTTGGCCTTCTGTCCCCTTTTTAAAAAAAATTACTCCAAGCGCCCCTCCCCCCGAAATCGGCTTTTTTTAACTTGTTAGCGGTTCTATTAAATTTGAGTTACCCAAGGCTACTATGCTTGAATCATTCCAGCAGAGAGAGAGAGAGAGAGAGACACACACACACAACACACACACACACATAGAGTAGTATGCTTGGTTGAAACTATGATCCACAGTTTCTTTGCAGAAATCGTTTTAAAAATTCTTGCCCATTTTGTGAAGATTGTTTGGTTAAAGCTAGATAATATATTCTATAAATCCACTTCATTGGGCATTATTTCAAATATATGCATCACAGTAACTGAATGAATGAACAGGTGAAAACACCACACCACTGAGTGGTGGAATTTTCATTCTTCTTCAGGACACCTTGTGTTCTTGATGCATATTTATGACATACAGATCTACTTGGTACCAGTGTCAATCCATAAAGTTCTTTATTTTTAGATAAATGCATTTTTTTCCTGTACCTGACAAGGATCATATTGCATGCATTCCACTTTGGAGACCATCAACCTAGAGTGAAATAAACAAATCTTTGACACGGAATCACATGATTTTACTTTGTCATAGTGATTTAGAATGGCTCTTTGTACTTACAACCATTTAGTCTTTTACAAAGTAATTTCCCCCCTAATGTTGAATTGAGTGAGTTTCCCTTCAGTATTCTCTGGTAGCCTTATAAATTCTCCTAGGAATCTCTTCTTACTGATTTTTAGAATGCCTGAGAGGCAAAAAGTATGTTGTACACTGAAACTGGATGGATAATGTATTACCTAGTAACTAGTATGAATTTGTGTAGTATATGTGCCTATCTATGTGTTCACAGTGGCCAGCTCTCTGTCATTAAATTAAGAAGCTTGCTGTTTTTCAACATTTCATGATATTTGGATTTTTTTTTTATAGTTATCGTGCTTGCAATAATATTCGGCTTTATCGTTTATTGTCAGTACAAGAAGCAAAAAGGGTGAGTCAAAGTGTCTTTTAAAATGGATCATTTTTTTTACAATTCCATCCAGAATATTTTCTTTTGCATTGACTTGTACAATCAGTATTTTTTCCTTTTTTCCAGTATATTAATGTTAATGCCAGACTTGGCAAATTTGCTTTGTATTTAAGAGCCAGGTCAAATTTGTTTTGTTGGGGAAAGGGCACAGGCAAAATTTTTGGCTTTCAAAGAAAGAAAAAGGCAGTTCACTCCATAAGATGATGGCTTCCAAACTCAAATCAAAGTGCCAATCTAGGATCTACAGGAGGGGCTGAAAGAGCCCCTCTCAAAGTGCACAGCTTAGTTTGTTGATCACAGCCACAAATGGAACCAGTAGGAGATCAATGGTCAGACCACCCCATGCTGGTGACCTCAGGCTGCACCAGAATCGTTGATGCTTCACAAGTCTTTTTATTGGGAGGAAGGAGTCCATGAAGCTACAGATCCATATTACATTTTGCTTTCTTTTAAGTATGTGATGAATCCAACATGTTACTTTCAGAGCTGCTCTTGTTGTCTATTGATGCTCCTGTTTCTTATGTGAATTTTAAAAAATACTTGCTGACCTCTTCCCCCCCATTTTGGTAACCTAAATACTCCACACTGAATTTAAAGAAAGAAAACAAATCCACACATTGGCCATGTCTGAGGACGTATGTCTCATTCTGCACTTTGACTTCACCATTAAACATTTAATTACTAGTCCTCTGGAATCATGGCTGGTCATATTAGTCTGAGTTGTTAAAGTATTAGTTGTATTTTTTGTTATTATTTACATTGTTCTCTGTGTTCTGCTCACTTCATTCTGAAGTCTAAAATATCTTCCTGAATCAAACTCCTTTATCTTTTCTTACAGGGCAGTACTCTTTATTCCATTACATTCATATACCATAGTTTGTTTTAACTTATCCACAACCCAGTGGGACCCACTTAGTTCCCAGTTGTTTGTCACTACAAAAAGAGCGGTTATAAACATTTTTGTAAATGTGAGTTCTTTCCCTCTTTCTTGATCTCTTTGGAGGTGTAGGCCTAGTATTTATATTTCTATTCTAGGTCAAAGGGTTCACAGTTTAATGATCTTTTTGAATGCAGTTACAAATGGCTAGATTAATTCATAGTTTTGTAGCTAAGAAATCTAAGGAACTCTTTAGGGGCAGGTTCATATGCTTTTTTTTTCTTTTTTCTTTATTTTTTTAATATTCTCTTTTATTTTATTTATTTTTAGTTTTCAACATTCGCTTCCACAAGATTTTGACTTTCAAATTTTTGCCCCATTTCTCCCCTGCTCCCACCCCTTCCCCTAATATGCCCTCCCTTCTATCACCCCCCTTTCTCTTTTCCTGTTCCCCTTCTATTTTCCTGTAGGGCAGAATAGATTTCTATATCCCATTGCCTGTATATCATATTTCTCAATTGCGTGTAAAAACAATTTTTAACATTGTTTTAAAACTTTGGGTTCCAAATTCTCTTCTTTCCTCCCTCCTGACCCACCCTCATTGAGAAGGCGAGCAACTCAATCCAGGTTGTATATGTGTAGTCATGCAAAACCCTTCCATAATAGTCATGTTGAGGTTCATTCACATGCTCTTGTCCGTGACAGATGGTACCATCCAGTGTCATAAATATTGCCTTTTTTTTCAGGTTATCATTATAGTAAACTGTGAATATGCAAAAGCAGAAAGAACAATGTACAATTCTGAAGTTTTGGGTAAAAGTGAACTTAAAAAAGAGGTACCACAATGAAATGAATAGCTCAGTGTTGTAACAACCTGATACCATGATTTGTGGTATGCGGGTTGAAGGAAAATATTTTTATCCATTTGCCTTCTTTTGTGATCATTGCACAAGAATTAATTAGTGAAGTTGTTTTAGATTTTCAAAACAAAAGACAATTCTTTGTAATTAGATACTAAAATTCTGCAGTGTCATGGACTTGAAAAGAAAGCCTATTTCATATTTCAAAATGGACCTAGCAACCAAAAATAAGAGTGATACCACCAATAACATTAGTGATAATACCAAATATTTATGTAGCACTTTTATGTGTGTAAGCCACTTTTTACATATATTTCATTATTTAAATCTCATAAAACCCTGTGAGATATAGATATGAGGAGTTTTCTTTTGGAAAATTTGACAGTTGTGTCATTGGCATGTTAGTGACAGATTCCATGTTTGCCCCTTGTACAACTTGGGGGACTAATTCCTATGTAGCTGTAGAAGCAATATGGTAATCCCATCTGAGAAATTTATTTTAGAATTGTCCTTCATAAGGATGCTGCAGATTTTTCCATTGCTGTTTGTTTTCTTAAATTCCCCTTAAGTTGGAGGAGTTGCAAATTAATTAGTTGCACTTAAAAATGATGTGGTTAAACTTAATTGTAGTGGTTGACAGAAGCAAGATCTATAAGACCTAGCAAATTAATAGCACATTTGTTAGCCTTTTACAAATGCAAAAAGCTTGGAAAAGCAAATGTGTAATTTACTGAATAAGAAAGTAAGAAGATGTAAATGAAATATATTTATTGCCAGGAGATTTTGAATGTAATTATTAGGGTGAAACAAAGTTAGCTGTGCTTTAGAATTATTTCTGAGGAATACTGTCTTCTGACTGATTCTGCCTATAGAAATACATTACCACTTTAATAACTTTGACATCATCTTTAACTCACACCTAGTGAGTTCAAATGTTATCAGATTTCTTTATTTGTTATTGAGCATAGATGAAATGCTATACTTATACAAAAGGCATTATTCTGAAGAGCTTAAGTATTTTTAGTTTTATTTCACTTTACCTTTTGAGACTTTATGAAAGCTTTCTGTTTCTTTTGCAACTACAGATAAAATCTACTTTCCCTTCAAAAATCTTTTATTCTTCATTAAAAGATTGTTCATTATAGCTGGACAGAATCCGTGATGAGTGTTAATGGATTAAAGAAAACTTTCAATAGGTTGTCTTTTTTATTTTAAATTTCTGTGCCACTAGCTGGTTTTTCTTAAATCAACCTATGATTTTGTTAGAAAAATGAACCCATTAATAATTACATAATTTCTTGCTATGGTTCTTATAATTTTTGCTTTCTATATTTTAAATTTCATCCTGCCTATCCTTAAACAAGTGTTTATGGAAAAGCTCGTTTTTACTCTCATAGTAGCCAAACTAAGATTTGTAGGAGAGAAAAAGAAGGAGTGACGTTGAGTTGGGAAAGATAATCAAACAATGCAAGGTTTTTGTTTTTGTTTTTTTTCCCCAGCCAAAGACAAGGTCTATTAAAGATTCACCACATTGGGCAGATTTTAAGAATCTGAGCCTGACTTTATTTTCTGCTTGCCTCTGGTTCTTAAATAGGCAAAAGCACTATAATGTATGCCATATTATTACAGCCTATTCTGACTTATGCATATAAACATGTAAAAGGAAACAGTATCACAAGAGTGCAAAAATGATTTATGATTGGTTTGGTGGTGCATTCTTGACTTAAATTCAAGTCTGACTGCTGTTTCTAGAATTCATACTTTGGGAACTTGAGAAGTGATGAATTATTTGCTCTTACAAGATATTACTTAAAGAAAAGCAAAATTTTTTTTTATAGTTAATCTGTCAGGATAATCAGTAGTAGGTATACTTGAAACTCAATTGAATGTATTGTAAAAACTTCTTGCCATAAAATTGAACAGTATGAACGCTCGTCTCCTCTATAGGCATACTAGGTAACCTGCCAAAAACTTTGAGCATTAGATCCCAGTACTATTTCTTTTGATATGATCTTTTAGTAGATGAAACAATTTTAGATCATATAACTGTGTACTCTACAATGCTCATGCACAGGTCATCACTGAGGAGGCAGAAGTTGGGAATTTCTCCATTTGTTTTGATCATCTTTAATCTTGTTCAAATTGAGAGCATACATTAATTTGAATTAATGTTATATTTTTAGTAAAACTACAAAGCCAAGGCAAACCTAAATTAACTTTTTAGCATTACTTCATCTTTCTCATAGAATTGATTTTGCTTGTTTTTTCTATCCTCACTTCTTCCTTTTCTTTAGTATTATTGATCATTCATATTTTATTCAGTCAGACCTTTTTACCTTCCTCTGTTCAGCACATACATACCTGATGGAATCCACAAAGAAGAAACACATTTAAATTCTCTTACTCCTTCTAAAGAAGACACCTTAATGAAAGAAAGGTTTACTTAAATCATTAAAAGGTATCTGTAACTCATATTGTATCTTTAAGTTATACTCAACTGGAAAAGGGTTCAGAGATTTTCATTGGGAACTAACCAAAGCTGTGGGATATTTGCAGGGGACAGAAAGAAAAACTTGTGCCATGTTTTCTTTGCTAAAGTACTGAATCTTCTGGCATTGAACTGTACTTGATCATAAAACATGCTTTCTAAAAATATTTTCTGAAGAAGTTTCAAAACACTACAGACTTTTGCTTTGGAGGAAAGGGCCAAAAAAAATTAAGCATCACACTTACGTGGAGATTGGTCCCTCAGCCTTCCTACACAGGTACAGATCTAGAACTGAAAAGTCCTGTGTCAGTTATCTGCTTCCAAGCCTATTAATATTGGTAGTAGTGTCCCTTCCTAGGCAATTCATCAGTTGACAACATTTAATAAGCACCTACTATGTGCCAGGCATTGTGCTAGATGCTAGGGAGATATAGATAAAAAAGAGTTTCTGCCCTCAGGAAGCTTATGTTTACTGCTTATTTTACACAAAGCATAGTTATCTTAATTTCTCTGGAAACCTCCAGTTAACACAAGTTGAAGGAACAGAAGGATAAAACAGAAGTGATTGTATTGAATAGGGTGGGGATTAGGGAGAAGTCAAGAGCCTCCCCCATCTGAGGGCTTCACTGAAGCAGGAGACACTAGAATAGCACCACAGCCTGGGGGCATCAGTAAAACATTTTTAATTTCAATCTTTATGAAATAGGTTACATCTTTTCCTGCCTTAGAAATATAATTATTTACCAGGAAGTTTGAGCCTGAGCTTAAATTAAGTTTACCTCCAAAGAAGGAATTATAACATTTGGTGGGTGCTCCTGTGTTGTTGTTGGTTGTCAGGAATATTGTACCTTCCAAGAAAAAAACCTCTTGGTAAATAATTGGTTTCTATCCAACTTCTTATGAAAGGGAAATCTGTAATATATGCCAGAAAGACTGCCATTAAAATGGTTTGTCTTTCATAGTAATTATTATTTAAAATGTTAGGCCTCAATTAGCTGCAGAATTCACTTATCCCAGATGTTTTTTTCTCCCATCAGTGCTAGATAAACCGACATTCCTCTAATTGTTAAAGGACTCCTGTCTTCCAAATGAATCATCTTTTTAAAAGCTTCAGTTGAGTCACAGATTTCTGAATGTTATCATTTTATTCAGCTGTCCCTCTGAGTTGTTTTCCTATTGCAACTAAATGAAAATTAACTCAGTTTCAACACATGGGAATTGGTTACCAATTTGGTGTAAAGTAATATATACTACTGCTTAGGGTGAGAAGAGAGTTGCTCAGAGCCACAATTATTTTTTTAACAGATTTGCTTCTTAGGTGGTTGGGGGTTAGGAATCTCTAAAAAGCATTAGGAATCATTTAGAAAGAGTTTCTTTTCTATGTTAATACCCCTTTTGAAAATTCTTTTAAAGTTTAACTTATTACTGTGATATAATCTTGTTTGACTGTGATCCTCTTTTTCTTGTTTTGCCTTATAGGAAAAATGCAACGATTCCTGTTAGTGCTGATTACAAACCTAGCCTGGAACAAGGGAACCATTCTGAGGAAAGCAAGTGTATGGTTTCAGTAAATTAATGTAACCACCAATCTGGCCTTTTTTTTAGTTTTAATGTTAAGCACTTTTCTAGTTACTTTCAATGTAACTGCTTTGCCAGCTGAAAACAAAGCTGTTAAGTTGGAATTTTGGTGTTTTAAAATGAGGCTTATTAATTAGCATCCTTACATACACCCTTACACACCTGTATGGTGCTTAAAATGGAAATGAAGATAAAACACACATTGTGGATCTGCCCAGGTCATCACTGCATTTAGTGTAGGGTGTCAGAAGGATGATGGCAAAATACTCTTTTAAGAAAAAAAGTTTTGCAAATGCACTTATGGAAATAAGAAATGTGTAATATTTTCACTGGGTAATTTAAGAAATTAAGTGACTGAAAACGAGGGAGGTTGGTTATGATCAACTTCATGGATCACTAAAGAAAAGTTTTGTAAGGAATGTTCTTGTCAAACAGTGGTACTTTATCCTATTTATAACCATTTCTTTTGGTAACCAGTATACTAATTCAGGACAAAGTTAAGAAACCAGCCTGTGCATATGGCTGTGAAGTTGACATTTATTTTCACCAGTCAATGGGAAATGGTTTTAATTTATGCAAAATACAAAAAGCCCCCCAGCTATTTCTGTGAAAGTAAGTAAGGGACATTAGTCTCCAGCCAAGAATTCCAGCACAATGTACACAATGAATAATAAATACTTGGAGCCTTACCATCTTTTTCACAGAGAATTCTAGAGTAAGGGGTGGGGGGGGGCAGCGGGGAATCTATTAAGGTTAAGAACTGGCTTGTTTCAAATAGGGCTGGTGTTTTGTGGTCTGAATGTACCCATGTTTAATGCCTATTAAAGCCTGAGAGGCAGCATAGAAGGGAGTACAGCATGACACACACTTAGCTGTGTGATCTTGGGCAGAACACCTAACTAACCTGGTCTTGCTTTAGGCCATTGTTGTCACACTTATATAGAAACTTAGGAAGCCACAGATTGATATCCATGTTGTATTATCATTTTCTTCCTAATTTTAGTCTGGTTTAGACAACACAAAGCAGCTTTTTAGGCAGTCCTCAGGCTGAATGCAACATTTCTGCTCTAGGCTGTTCTCTAAAATGCAGTCTATAAGCAAAGTGTTGCCAGAATGTATCAGTAAGGGGAAAATTTCCACACCAGGAGTTCCCACCACCTCAGACTCCCCTGCTCCCCTGCCATGTAGCCTGTTTTTTAATATCAGGGAATATGCTCAAACAATGACTTAAAGCCTTAGAATACACTCTTCTAGGGGCATGCCTTCATCCGTGATGCCATTTTGCCCCTCAGTGTTTTTTTTAAAGAGAGAAAGTCTTCTTTTAAGACTTCAGCTGGGCCAAGAGAACAAAAAATATAGTTTGTACATTTTCTAAAAGCGTCTGGAGAAGGGAGGCTGTGAACTTCAGAAAATTATACAGATCTTTTATCACCTGCCTTACTCTTCCTAACTAGAAAGCCCATCCTGTATATTACACTCCCTGAGTGTGAATATTTGGGTATCAGTGTGTGATCACGAAAAAACGGAGCTTGTGTTACGTATTTTCATGTATGTATGTGTGTATATATATGTATCTGCCTATATATATATATATATTTGAAGTGTAAACACACTTGGGATTCATGATTTTTTAAAATTTTGGTGTGGTACAGAATGTAACTTCCCCATTATTGCATGTTTGTGTGTATACACATATGTAGGAATAAACCCATCGGGCTTTGGTCAACCCCCACCCCTGCCCCCCATGTCATAATCCCGTCAATGGGACTCCTTTAGGGTTGTGATTGGTGTGTGAGAAATGCCTCTTAAGTCTTCCAGGGGACAAATACACCAAATCCCACTCTTCAGTCTGCCACTACTGACCTTATTCTTTTTCTCTTTTTGGATTCCAAGGTTGTAAATAAAATCACCTCCCAAATTACATAAAATGCAAACATTCACCACTAATTCACTAGCTTTGAGCCCATGCCCCGGGGGAGTGAGGTGGTAAACTAGAGGAAATCTCTCTTCCTGTGAAATCTTTTCCTTTGTCTCAGACCCCAGACTCAAAGGCTTAAGCTTAGAGGAACATCGGTTGCTGCCTATATAATTTATTAACAGTAACAAGCAGTGCAGTGTATTTAAGCGATGTCTCATCTGTGAGAAAAGTCCCAGCCAGAGACCCCTCCGTTCTGGAACAGCAGAACAGGGAATTTGCTGACTGAGACTCTCAGCAGGAACTGCTGGCTTCTCCAAGCTCTCCCAAATCTTGGTAACAGATTTCTCAGAGTGACATTTTACTTCGTTCTCCTGATAATTCCATTAACTGATAATCTCTCCTCAGAACAGAACAGCTTTGTGGACATGAAAGTCACAGTTAAGTCAGTTCCCTCAAAGTGTCTGTCTAGACTACAAGCCTGTCAGGGGGCATTCTTTCATGACAGCTGACTGTCCCAAGTCTCTTCAGAAATGCATTTTGGCTCTTGGTGCCTCTCAAAGACTCCTGCAAAGATAATCACTAATTTGTCTGGCTTAAGGTTCCTTTTGTTAAAGGCTCAGTAACTATATCTAGAGTCTCTGCAAGAAGGGCCATGCAAGTTGGAAGTTAACGTAATGTTACAAAAGCATATTACGTATACTTTGAAAGAAATGACATGGGGACACAATTCAATCTATACCTCACCAATTTGGACCAATGCACAGAAGGGAGGAGTTTTCCTTTGAATTACAAATCTTCTTGCATTAAATGTATGTAACAAAGTTCTGTTTTGAAGGACAATTAGTAACTCCAGCTAAGCTAGGAAAGAATGCTGTTATGTATCAATAAGCACTAACTTGTATGTAAAGGAGTGCTTCAGTATTTCTTGTAATCTTACTTGTGCTATTCATGAAGAATATGAGAGTTCTGCATTCGTGATGTCAGGAACTGGCTTTGTCTTTTTCACATTCAGGTTTTTAGGAATGCCTTACTAAAGTAAAGGAGGAGATAACCTATTTAAAACTGGGTAGATGACTCTTGAAACAGATTTTTCTGCAAAATAAATTAAACTGATTTCTGTGGAGGTTTCTTTAAACCTAATTTTGGTGTTTATTTTAAATATATTCTCTTATGCAGGTACTTATGAAATTCTCTATTGTATGTGTAATATATATATATATTTTTGCTAAAGCTTCTTGGATATCTTTAAAACTGTAACTTAGGATTAAATGTAATTTTCCTCGTACACATGTACTTTCAAATAGCTAGGGAAATCAGTTTTATATGAACGTTGGCTATTCATCAACAACTTGTGCCTTCTCTGTTAAGAATTTGTGGGAAAAGGAAGGTCTTCCTACTTGAATAAAAATTACAGATGATGTCCTTGAAAAGGATGGCAAGATGGCCACCCAGGATGTATGAATTGTTGTAAACTGAATAAAAATATAATTCTAACTTTATCTGAATAGGCTTTTTTTTTTTTGGTTTTCATTTTGGTTTTTTGCTGAATTGCAAAGATCTTGGTGGACTTTCTCCAGTATTAGGACACGTAGGATTGGTGAAGAAAAGCCAGGATTAGCCATGACTTGTTTCATTATGAATAAGTGATGAGCTATACAAACCTCATATTCCAGACAGTTCAAATATGGCATGAATGAAAGCTGCTCCCAAAGTTTTCACTATTACTCAGGATTCCTATAATTTCATTGTACTCCTTTAAGATTCTTTTTAAAAGGCCTATTGGCTGATCCCTTTATATGTATTCAATGAGGCTTAACTTTTTTTTTTACACTCTTCTAGATTTATGTCTACAACCCTTTTGAAACTTGAGAAACTAGTTGGTAATTTAATATTTATGGTGTCATAGCATTTTACTTTAAAAGAATCATTTCTTCCATAAAGTTGGTAACCTCCCCCCTTCCTTAATTTGGGAATATTCTATATTACTTGTCAGTGTCCGTCCTTCTGCAAAACCAGCCACTGACAATTCAACTCAAGTTAAAAAGGCAGTAATTACTCAAATATCTAGAGTGAAGATTTCCAGACACATTTTCTAGCAAAGGTTGGAGACCCACTTGTCAGCTTTGCAGGGGTTTCATTTAGGTACAGATTCACTAGATCAGGAATTCTTAACCTGGCCTTCACAGACCTGGAGAATTTCAGAAAGGCCCATAAACTTGGTTGTGGAAAAATAATTACATCTGTATTTTGATATTTTGATTGGTTTCTTTTGCAATCCTAGGTATTTTATACATTTAAAATACTTCAGAAAAGGGGTCCATGGCACACAAAAAAAGGTTAACACTTCACACCCCCCACCCCTCCATCTACATTGTCACTTGAAGTTCCTTTCCACATAGGATTCTGTGAAAACCTTCCTATCTTGGGCCCTCTAGTGGCAAGGCCACCACAAACCACGTGGACATCACACTGTGAGTGACTTTAAAGGGTCAACTCCCCAGACTGCCAGGAAAGGGAGGAAGAAATTAAGAGGGAAATTGGCCTTGTATGTCAGACTAACAGAAGAATTGTAAGTTTAAAGCCTTATTTTATAGGTGAGGAAACTGAGGGCCAGAGAAGTTTAAATGAGTTACCCAGAGTCACACAGTGTCCAAGGTGGAATTTGAATCTAGGTCTTCCCTGTCCTTTATGCCTTCTTATTCTCAACCTCATGGAATTGAATGGGAAGGAGAAGTTGAAAAATAGACATGACAAGCAATGCAGAAAAAAATTTATTAGTGCATTTAACCTTATTATAGATTTAATCGTTTTATAGCACCTCAAAATTACAAAGAAAAGGCAAAACAGGACTGGAATCAAATCACGTGGATTCATTCACGTGTCCAAAGAGCATTTATCCATTAGGTTGTCTCTTACCTCTGAGTTTCAGAAGCTTCAATGCAGTTGCAGTTGGTTACTAAGAAGTGTGCTCTTTTTTTCCCCCATGATTCGTGCTACGACTAACCAATCAGCCTTGCATAGCGTTCCAGGACTGCTGCTTTTCCCCCTACATCATAACCGATTTCAAATGGTGCTAGACAAAAACAGACTCTGAACACCAAGAGAAATCGGTCAGCCTGTGTAAGAGAGAGGTCCAGTAGGATTTGTGGAATTCTGATGTATTATAACAATGGCTGACATCTTTGCATGTACAAATAACCTCAAATTTTCAAGCAAGTAATAAACAGTTTTTGCCCAGGGGTGCTACAGCTACCCTTCTCATTATTCCAGAAAAACACATCACCACTCAATTGAAGACTAAAATCATGACATTCATTAACCAAGAAGTGTTTATTTTATGAAACTACGAGGACCCTACCACGCTTGGGCAGGACTGTTAACTAATATTCAAAAAGAGTATTATCATATTTATAAAATACTGTCATACATCCTCACAACAACCCTGTGAGGTAGGTAGGTAGTGAGTATAATATCCATTTTGAAGAAAAGAAAACTGAGATTCAAAGCCTGTGACTAGTCCAAGCTCACACTGCTAGTAACTGGTTGAGATTAGAACCTCAGGTCTTGAGATCCCCAATCCAGTGTTTTGGTTTGTTTTTGTTTTTTCAACTGAGCTATGCAAAACTGGCCTCAGTTCCTCATAGCATTATCATTGGAGTTAATACCTTGAACGTGATCCTACCCCTCAGTTTGATTTTTATGACAATTATCCTCTTGTGGAGGGAGTCTTTTCCCAGTTCAAATGGCAAATCTAAAAAGCAGATGAGCCACTAAAACGTATGTCCTTCCTTGCCGCAATTCTTACTCCTAAAACACTGATTTCAAATGGTGCTAGATACAGAGATGGAAAAATCTAAGCCACCATGTGAAACCAGCTTCCAGAAGAAGAGCAACATCCTGAAGAGGGGGAAGCCTCAGTCTCTGTTCTGAGATGGAAGGTCTTCTTCCTCCTCCACTGGTGACAAAAGGTGCAATTATGATCATGGCACAGAAGGAGACAAAGTTAACATAATGGCGACTAGAACAATGCAGAAACCACCCTCCTATTTTCTAAGAGGTGGCAACACAAACCCCTTTCTGTATTAACTTTATACTATCAGACCAAAAGAGATCAGATTAATCATGTTATTGCAGACATAAACAGGAGTTAAAAGCTCTTATTGCAATGCACCATTAGCTCTCATATGACAAGGACATTTTCCCCACCTACACCAGCATTTTGCCTCCTTCCATTGAAGGAGATTTAGCACCCACCTGTGGTTTCTTCTCCAGCCTGTGCAGGAACCATTGACAGTTTTAGTTGAGGAGCCCATCTCACACGTATAATATAGATGGGGGATTTTCCTGGTTTGCCTGTAAATGGGCCTCCCAAAAGATTTTTCTAAATCAGGCCATATGCCATGCATTAATTCTCCCCATACTTCCCCTTCCTTCCCCTTTCTACCTAGATCAGGGGTTCTTTAAGTGTGGTCTGTGAACTTTAAAAAAAAAACTATTTTGACAGTTTTAATAATAGATAGAATTTGTTTCCATTTTAATCCTATTTTAATTTCATGTTGGGCATTTGAAAACAAACTCCAAAACCCTGTGTTTTGAAGGAAAGGGCATTCTGACAGGTCAGATGTTCTCCCCACTGTCTCTAATACAATCCCCTCCTGCCCACCTTCTTTCTTATACTAGGAGGTACTGGGCATGTTAACTAACCTCAGACTAGCAGTTCTGCCCACTGCCTGGGCACACACCTGGCAGACAGCACACGAAGCTGGGCATGCCCAGTGACGTTGTTCCACTTTCCTCTTGGGGGAAGAAGGGATGGGGCTGGGCCAGTCATGGGGTAGGTTCTGAGCTCAGCGCCAACTTTCAAGCATACCCTCCCTACTTCCCCTACAGTATGATATGGCTAGAAGCTGGACCCGGGCTGCCCACCAGCCCCATTTTGTTATCGGGACCTGTCTCTGCTAGTCTTATGACCAGGAACAGTAAGTGGGGGAGGGAGAGCTGGAGGAGGAAGTTTCACAGTCTAGTGCATTCCCATGGGGGGGGGGAGAAGGGGGAGGGGAAGGAAAGGAAGGAAGGAGACAAAGGGGAGGGGAGGGAGGGGAAGAAGTAAAGGGACATGGGGGGACAGAGAGAGAGAGAGGAGGAAGGGAATGAGGGGGAGAAGAGGGGGGAGAGAAAGAGAGAGACATACATAGACACTTCTCTTTAATGAACTCTGATGTCTCCCCTTTCATTTCTTTTTCTTTCCCCTCCTGTCAGGAATGACGATTGCTGGTGGGGGCGGGTGCCCAGGTACCAAGCCAACTGGGTTCTCGCCCGACTCTATCCCAGGCCTGGCAATCTCCCTCTGGCCGTTACCCATCATGCACTTCTGCCTCTTTCGGGGAGACCTCGCCCTCTTGTTTTCAAAGTTTTATAACAGTACTGTTTGTTGTGGAGCAGATTAAATTCTTTAGAGGTTGGGGGGTGGCTGGAGAAGAGTGAGAAAGTCTACTGGAGCCAAGAGATTAAATCAATTCCTTTCTCAACGCAGAGTTCACCTGTCTTGGAAAGGGACCAGCAGCCAGGAACATGTGTTCTCTCTCTCTCTCTCTCTCTCTCTGCCCTCTACCCTCATGCCCTCCTTCTCTTCCTGTCCTGGGGAGGCACTCTGAGTCTGGCAAGGACATGCCTGGTTGCATGATCAAGGGCTGGGGCTTTAATGGTCAATGAGCCAGGGTTCGAGACAAAATGAAAGCAACTGAAGAGAACAGGAATGGAGAAACTGACCTGTCCCTCCCCCCTCCCCATGACCAGCTGAAGATCACTGAACCCTGTGAAAATGCCCCAGGCACTCCTATCCTGATGATGGGATTGCTCATCTTCCCCAAGGCTTTGCACCTTGGTCCTGGACCATCCTGAGGTCCTATGGGCAGCGCCTTGGAGCTCAGTCTGGGCAGACAGCTTCTGAAATGAGCTCTGGCTTATATATAAAACTTTTTTTAAAGGTTAAGTGACTCAACACATTTTCATAAAAATGTGCCCTAATGCACATTAATCAGTATAATGCAATGTGCTGAATATATGATGAATGAATTATGAGAAGTGCATATGTAAGCCGTTCTCTACACACAAACATGAGGGGAAGCAAGGGCTGGTGGACAGAACACTGGCCTCAGTCAGGAAAACCTAGGTTCAACTCGCCTCTGACACATACTGGTGTGACACTTGGCAAATCACTTCACCCTTCCATGCCTTAGTACAGAAATGGGGAATGTGTGGCCTGCAGGCCCCACCTAAAGACCTACAGACTGAATGTTCTCTAGACCAATGATATCATTGCCCCCAAACTTAACCACATATCTATCCACACACAGCCTGCCCCTATGCATATATCTCTATCAACTTACATGCACATGTCAGAGGAAGTTCACATGGCTGTGGGTGTGTGGTCTATGAATGGAGCGGGAGAAAAATGAAGAGTCAGGAAAGACAGATTGTGGGAAGAACTTTAGATTTTGAGCCCAAAGAGCTGGGTTTCAGGTCCGGCTCTGCTACCCAGGCAAGCCACGACCTCTCTGAGCCTCAATCTTCTCATTTTTAAAATGGATGGGAAGGAAAACACTTTTGGAAACTTTACAGCACAACAGAACTGTGAGCTATCCTAATCACTGTCCACTAAAACCCTGTTGGCTCCTTTCCTACACTTTCTAGTAGCCTAGGAGGGAAACACCAAAGGCAGAGAGAAGTATGCCACTGCCCCGCCCCCGATCCCCGGGTGATGGAACGCAATGAAGACACATCTATTAGGCCTTTACAATGTGTTGTGCATTATGGTAAACATAAAAAAGCAAAGACAGTCCCTGCTTTCAAGTAGTTCACACAAACAACAGATTTTGCTCTTCTATTAAAATCTATACTTACCTGTAGCCTTATTTATGTTTTCAGTCTCTGGACCTTCCAGTTCATATCTAAGAAATACGCACACACACTTCCTGTTCCCCAGGTGAGGCCTCACCTTAAACTGCTAATACTCATCCACCAGTACCCAAGCCATTTCAGCTGGAGAGACGGTCATTTCCCTGTAGATCTCTACCTTATCTGCAGGTAGGGCTACAAGGCAGGCAGGGGATGCACTTCACCCCTCCAACCTTCAAAAATCATCTCTGGATAATGGTGCCAGGCTCACACCTTTCATTGTGTCAGGCCACAGAGCTCCCTCCCACACATCTTCAGAATCCCTGGCTGTGGGGGAGGTGGGCAGTGCCCAGGCCTGTGGCTACAGGTCCCACCCAGCCTGAGGCTCCCCCCTGGGAGGGATTGGTGGGAACATGCCCTGTTGGGCCTCTTTTCTTTTTTTTTTTTTTTTGCCCTCATAAAAAAAGCTATTTCTGGGGCAAGTTCCAGGAGCCCACACAGTCAGGTTATGGGGTAGGTTGCCAGGACAAAGCTATTTACAACAACACAAGCCTCTTAGCTCAGCAGCTACAGCAGAGAGCAAAGAGAAGCCCAGAAGCAGAAAGGGGGTGAGTGCCACGGTACCCCTATAGTCCTACAGCGATCTGAAAATATGGCAGTCATAGAACTACGCCAGGGCCAAAAAAGGCTCTTGAAAAGTCACTTACACCTAGCACTCCACTTCCATAAATCCCTAGCCTGAAGTCAACTCTGATAAATCAGCCCCTTCTTCTAGAAAACCCCAGCTACTGTCTACTGATCTAGTTTCTCCTGATCTGATCAGGAAGTTCTGCCCAATGTCTAACTGAAATCCACTACACTGCAGCCTTCTGCCTATCTACCTCCACGAGCTGTTCCTTGTCCCCCATGGAGCATCCCCTCAGAGACTGGAGGGCTGCTGCTTAGCACATAAGAACAGTATTTCAAGAGACTCACTGAGAGGTCACTAAGAAGAGGAAGCCCCACCTCCCTTCTCACCTTCCCCAGCCTCACAGAGTCACTGAGCACCACCAGTGGACTCCTCTGTGAAAGGAAATTGCTTTAACCCCACTTCTTACTGCACATTTGAAAACAAAACTTCACCAGGAAACTCAGACAACAGGAACCAAATACAACCCTTCAGTCTGGGTCATCCCAAAGACTCAGCAAAGCAATGCTCCTTATTTCTGTCACTCCATCCCCATGAACGTCCCACCAGCTCACAGTTCCTCTATCACCCAAAGCCATAATGGTCAAGGAATGCAAGCTGACAAGAAGTAGGGCTTTATAAACTCTCTCTCTCTGTCTCTCCCGTGCCCCCCCAAGCCCAGGCCCAAAAAGCAGGGATTCTGTCACTCAAAATCCATATTTAAATGAGCCCCAAAACAGAACTCTTAAATAATAATTGCTCCAATGCTTCAGGGATCTATGATTTAATTGGTGTGGTTGCACCCTCCAAGGAAGCAGATGGCAACCTCTCCACACCTTAGCAGATATAGTCTATTTGCTTCTGTAGCCAAAAGAATTCATCACCTAGTGACCAGCCTTCTGGTTGACCAGCCTCTCAGCACTTCTCCAAGCTGATCTTTGGAAGACAGCCATATAGGCCTTCACAGGCCCAATTAAATATAACGTTTTGAGACTTGGATGGATCTCTGAGCTCAACAGTCTAACTCCCTCATCAGGGCAGAGTGAGGACCCCTCCACGCCTCTTCCTCCTGTGTCATTCATTCTCATTCTGTCTTTCCAAGTCATTCAAGGAAGATCCAGCCAATGAACTGGAGACAACCTTTAGATAATCTTCAGTGGACCTGTGACCTCATCAATGTGGTTACTTCCCCCAACTATGCATGCCATCACTTTCCTGTAATCCATGTCAACCCCATAAATCTCCCTCACCCTTACCTTCCTAAAGAAGAAGATCTTGGTTATTACTTGCCAAGAAAAAAACAGCCCATTCCTCATGAGCTCCCTTTCCCCCCTATTCTATGTTTCAAAACTTGGTCCATTCTCCTCTTCTTGGAAACCATTTCCTCTCCATGGCTTTTGATGATAATGTTCTCTCCTTATTCTCCTACCTGTCAAACCACTCCTTTTAAATCACTTTGCTCCACCAACTTTGCCTAGTATATCTTAAGCCTCTATTGAAGGCCCTCTTCTTTTCTCTCTTTATGTACTATATTGGTGAGCTTATCAGCTCTCCTGGAATCCAATATCATCCCCCTGCAGAAGCCTCTCACATCAGTATATCCAGCACTAACCTCTCTTCTGAGCTCCAAGCCTGTTTTACTAACTGCTTGTTGGACACCTCCAAGTGGATGTCTCATAGGCCTCTCAAACTCAACTTGCCCCAAACAGAACTCATTATCTTTCCCCTTACACCTAGCCATCCTCCCTGTCTCTTCACAACTTGGGAGTCACCCTTGACTCTTCCTCTTCCTTCACTCCCTATACTCAATCAGTTGCAAAGTCTGTTGATTCTACCTCTTCTACATTTCTTAGATCACCACCCTAGTTCAGGCAGTCATCATTTTCTGCCTAGACTACTGCAACAGTCTCCTAATGGAACTTGCAGTTTCCAATCTCTCCCCTCTCTAATCCACTCTCTACATAATTGCCAAAATAAATTCTCCAAACCCTAACTCTGATCATGTGACTCCCTTGCCCAAAAACTGTCAGGGGCTCCTTATTATCCCTAGGATGAAATACAAATTCTTCCCCTTGGTATTTAACGTCCTACACAACATGGCTCCCATCTACCTTTTCAGGACGAGTTTACTCTCCTCCACACCCTCTTGGTTCCAGCCAAACTGGCCGACCTCCTGTTCCCTGGAGTGGGCCCTTCCATCTCTCACCTCCGTGTCTTTGCAACTTTCCCCTCTTCACCTCCGCTTGTTAGAATCTCTAGCTTCCTTTGAGGTTCAGCTCACTGACCCTTTTCTACAAGAAACCTTCTTGATCTCTTTAACTGTTGATTTTCTCTTCTCCCTTCATCCCAAACAATCATCTCTATATTTATGTTTATATGTTGTATCCCACCCCCACCTCAGTTGAAAGTTATGTTTCTTGAGGATGGGGACCATTTTCTATTTTGACTTTGACTCCTCAGCATCAATCAGTGTCCTTGCACACAGTACGTGCCTAACAAATGCTTATTGGTTTGGACCAGAAATCTTCCACAGGGATTGCTTACCTTCAGATGGATACCAACAGAGCCAGCAGACTGCACACTGGTTCTCTCTCACTCTCCACATGATTGGCCCACTTTCCCTGGTTATACATCTTGCCGACAACATTCTTTATGCCATTTCTCTTGCATAACTCATATCTGGTGACACGTTGCAGCCAACTCAAGTCGCCCACCATCACTTCTCCATTGCCCTTGGCATGACCCGCAGCTTTCGTTCTACAGAGACTTGGTGTTCCATGACTCATTGCCACATGGCATCCTTGGACAACTGTTGTTAGAAGAGGCCTTTGTTTCAGACCCATCGAGCCTATAAATCCATTCAAACCCATGAATAACAGCATACATTCTCTTAAAGAGTAAATCAATGAAAGCAAATGCCCTTCCCCATCATTATGGAAACACTATTGACCTGAACAGAGCATATTTAAATTAATTCCAGTTGTAGTAGTGACAGTGCTCAAGAGGCCACATAGATCACTGGCAAACCTGAGTATGTGACCTGTCAGGGGCTAATGGGTATCTGTGTCAGGTGGTAGAGTACATAGAGTGACGAGATCAAATCCTGCCTCAGACACTTAGTTAGTGGCTGTGGGGCCCTGAGCAAGTCACAACCTCTCTGGGCCTCTGCATCATCTTCTATAAAATATAAGGACTGAACTCAAAGACCCCCAACATCCCTTCCGAGATCTATACCTATGATTCTATGAGCCTATTCCTAAAAAGTTCAGAAAAGCAAAATTTACCAGAGGCCTGAAGACTTCAAAGATAGCACCTCCTACATGGTGTGTTAGTATACTGTTCCTTATTCAGGGAAAATGAAAGTACAAGAAAATATCCCCTTCAGTATCTTACTGCTCACCTTCTCAATAGGTGGGGAAGGGAGAGGATTTGGAACTCAAAATTTAAAAAATGAATGTAAGAAAATTGAAAGGTAATTTTTAAAAAGAAAATATCCCTTTTAGGTATGTAGTTTAATTTAATAAATGGAAGCACTCTCAAAAATATAATTGTGATACTGAAGGTGATGCATTCACTCCCCCCAACCCTCCTATTTCCTGTGACACATTAGCCAGCTCCTCAGACTAAGGTCAGACGTTTGTTGGCTAACTCCAGTAACCCATAACTTGGAAGTATGTTAGGGGAGATTCACAGCATCACTTACCTTACTTAAGAGGAAGACACATATCTCAAAGGACTCTGCTACAATGTTTTAAATAGCATTTAATAAATAAACACCCAACTGAATGGAATCCTTTCCTAATGGGAATGAGCTTGGGCTAACTCTGCATCTTCAGGAGCTTCAGCAGTGAGCAGTCTCTCTGTGGTGAGATTCTACCATGGGCAGCCAATCCTCCCAGTATTAAACATGCAAAGCTAAATGCATTTTAACTTTGCCTCATGCCAACTGTGCAACTTAGTTGAGTAGGGAAAAGGCAAAACCACTAGAGGGAAAGAATATTACAACCTGCGCCCCCAGCCAAGAAATAAAACTCCAGCTCTAACCTGCCCAGATGGTCAGAGCAGCACAGAACGTCTGAGCCGGAAGGGCTAAATTAGGGAGAATTAGTCTAAATCCTTCCTCTGCAAAGGAGAAAACCAAAGTGTGGGGGGAGGACAGAAGGACTTGTCCAAGGTTATGCAGCTAGTTTGTGGCCAGAATGGTAACTAGAATACAGTTCTCCTGACCCTGGCCCAATCCAGTACAGCTCCTCTCAGTTATTCTACGCTCAAAAGAGAAACTCACAGGTTATAATCATAACCTGGTAAATGTCTCCAATACAGGCAGACAGATGGTTTCTGGAGAAATTTGCTTCAGGAATTCAAAAGATCAGTGATTTAATCAGTTCATTCCAATCCAATAAGAATTTAGTCAGTGGCTAATATGTGCAAAGAACTGTGCTGGTCCTGGAGACAGAAAGATAGAATGAAAAAGGATGGCCTGCCTCACCTCCCCCCTCCCCATCTCTCACACACATCATCGTCAATATGACATCATCTATCATCGCATATATATGTATATATACATATACATATATATAATATATTCAAAGTTTTCAAAGTAATTATAGAGTATGTATGTATGTATATATCTTTAAGGTTTTCAAAGTATTTTACATGTTATCACATGTGTATATCTCATGCATATAATCTCATACAGGTACCTGTAGATACATCTATGTCAGCTATTATTATTATAGAAATACGAGTTATTATTATTATTAGAGGAGAGTTTTAATGGTGGCAGCTAACTGGAGACATGGCTTTTGAAATACCACATTCATTCTTCAGAGAAGCTTTTGCAGGCCCCCTGACCCCCAGGGGCTCCTGCCCATTCAACCTTTGAGACGGCAGGGCAGTGGCAGCAGTACACCACTAGGGGGCCACACTATCCCACCTTCCAAGACACCACTGGGGAAGACCAGTCAATGGTCCTTTCCACATTTTCCCCCAAGAGTGGTTTAAAACCAAAAAACTGAAGCGGTTATGGTGGCTGTTGGTAGGTTGGTTTTTCCCCCGTGGATGGGATCATAGATGGGCTCTGAGGTTGGACTAAAAGAGAAAACTTCCTGAGACTAGGGCAGGTGACTCTGCAAGGAGGCACATCCTCTCTGGGAATAGACACTCAGAAATGCCTTCTCTGAACTCTCTGTCCAGCACCCACAGGAATCTCCATCCAACAACCCAATATTCTCTTCCATGGGCCCTAAAAAAGACCCATCTTCCTAGGCTACTGGTACTCCCTAGCCATCTCCCTTTCCCTAAACTCACCACCCAGGAGGGTGTCATGAAGAGGGGTGGGTGGCCTCTATTAATTTAATTAAACAAGCAATTTCCAGTTTTGAGAGTCTGTGATTCTGCAATTTCAGGAAGACCTGAGTTTGAATCCTACCTTAGACACTAGCTATGTGACCATGGATAGGTCTTTTTACAGCCTCAGTTTCCTTACCTGCAAAATGTGGATAATGACAGCACTTACCTCCTAGGGTTTTTGTGAGGATGTGTAAACTGCTTTATAAACTTTAAAACATGATATAAATGCTAATTATTATTATTATTCTTTACTGGGCATCTAAATGGTGCCATGAGTTACATGTGAGAAGCATGAAACAAGGTCTTCATCATGACGAGCTGATGAAAAATGAGACTCCTAATAAATCAAGCAACTGGGCAACAATGTGAGGGACCATAAAGGAAAGGAAGCATAGTCGAGAAAGAGCTGGTCTTGAAGCCAAAAAACCTAGGTTCCAGTCCTGTCTCCTATACATATGGGCCATGTGATCCTGGGAAAATTATTTACTTTCTCAAGGTTCCAGGTCAGCGGTGTCAAACTCTCCAGCAGAAACAGGGGACACTAAACCTTTCAGAACGATCCCTGTGGGCCGCTTATTGACTTAGTTTAAAAATCTAATATTATTTTTGTTGTATATTTAAATTTGTTTTATCAATTATTCCCCAATTATATTTTAATCAGGCTCCCTGAACTGGAGAGTATTGTGGTGGGTCACATATTTGACAACTATGCTCTAGGGCATTCTCTTAAGAGAGACAGGAGGAGGCTTTTTCCCTACCTGAGAGTTCCCTGTACCAATGAAATCATCCTCTGTTCTATGAAAGGCTGTTTAATCAGCTGCTAAATTGTGTGAATGTGGAGGCTACTCAGGGCTACTGGGTAGCAAGTGGCAAACTTGAATCTGAGTTCCAGTCCCTATCACTTACTCCTTAATGAACACTTCCAGCGGTCTTCAGTCTCCCTGAGCCTCAGTTTCTTCCTCTATAAAATGGAGGAGGGCAAACTAGCTGATCTCTAAGGTCCCTTTCATCTCTATACCCTGTGGTCCTGTACTGTACCCCAGCTGTACTCCTGAACTAGTAGTAACCTGCCCCCCAGTTCTAGGGACTGTGCCAGCCCCATTCTGGCCCTTCCCCTGCCACATCCTGAAAGACTCCTTCAAGGATGTTTTCCCCCTCCATCTCCGCCACCAGGTAGAACTATCCTTGCCCTAGCCCAGAGAGCTGGAGGGTTTTATTCAGAGAGTTCCCCAGGGTCCCTCAGCCTGGTGGCCCCAGTCCCCCCTCATCTGGGAGTCCTTCCTTTCAGCCAGTCCAAATTTCACATGCTATGACCCAGGTCCGTTTCCCCTCATTCTGTATTTCAGATAAGTCATGCCTTTCTTCATAAAAAGTTCCCATGGCTGCCCTGCCCCTCGACTGCCCCTGTGACCCTTCCTCAGCCACAGTGCCAACCTCTGACGTCAGTCATCCTGGCCTGAGTGGGCAGCCAGTTTGTCAGGGATGGGGATCCCAGAAATGAAACAATTCAAGGCTCAACTCAAGTTCAGCCTGACCTGCCTCTGCCTTGGAGGAAACAAATCCCGAGCTAGCTGCCCACACCCTAAGCCACGCACACATGACATGTCCCACCCTCAATCACCAATGACACTGTCCTACCTTGACCTTTATGACCCCCCCCAATGTCAGGGTAATGGGCACAGTCCTCCCCATGCTACCACCCCCACCTGCTCAGGAGAGAATCCCTTGGCACCTGTACTATCAGGATAATCAATCCACAGGCATCTGGGTCAGCCAGAGCTAAGCTGTGAGGCCTGTGGCCTGTGGGTGCATTCTTCACCAATGACTTGGCAAAGGCCGAACCCAAATGTTTCTCTGCCCTGACAAGTGCAAAGTTCTTACTGGCCATGCCTATGCTGGTGGAGGGAAGCCGGGGTGTCTGGGGGTGGGGCCTTAAAAATCTAACAGAGGCAGTTGCGGCTGTCCTTGATTCACTGCCTGACCTTCAGTAAGTCATTTCACCCCTGTAGGCCTGACATTCCTGACTAGGACATGAAAAGAATCAGCCCCACCCTTCCTGTTTCAAATAATAAGTCCCATGAGTTCAGTGGGGGGTGGTGTAAAGAACCCTGCGGTTTGGAGTCAGAGGACATTGGTAAGAACCCTAGTTGTGTGTCATCTTGGGCAGGTCAATTAAGTTCTCTGGACCTCAGTTTCCTTGTGTGAAAATGAAGGGGTTGGACCCTTTCAGTCTTAAATCTATAATCCTATTTTCTTGGGACTAGATGAGTTCTAAAGCCTCTTTCAGGGCAAAGTCTATGATCCTGCTTTGTATTCTGGAGCAGAAACGAGGGTCCAGGTATCACCACAGCAGCCCCCCCTGGCTGACCCAGGCCAGCAAGTCCCTACATAATTGATCCTGTGTTTCACCTGGGCCCCTCTCTCACTCTGGAGATTCCTGGACAGTTTAGGTGCCTCTTCTCCGTGGTCACGCTACTCTGTCCTTGGGGACCTGACTCACAGCTAAATGTCCTTCAGGTGACAGCTCTCCTCCCTCTGGCAACGTCTCAGCCCTTAGAAGCTAGAAAGTTTTCTCCAGATTGTAGTGTAGCCTGAGATTTCCTTCACTTCAGCCCATGCCAGGTCTACACGTCCTATTTTGAGTCTTTCTTGGCCTCTGTTCCTCTGTCTTTCTTCTCCAAATCTCGAAATCCCCACCCCCATTTCAGAGTTTCATGCCTTGTTTATGGACCCTATATCTACACTTCCTTGACAAATTGTCTCTCCCTCTCTTCTCTCTCTCCCTTTTATCTCTCATCTCTATTTCTGTCTCCCTCTATCTCCCTCTCCCTCTCTCCTTTTTCCTCTCTTCTCTCCCTCATCTTTCTTTTGTCTCTCCCCATCTCTCTTTTCCTTCTCCTCTCTCTCTCCCTCTCTCTCTGTCTCTCTCAGCAGTGGCCACACTGTTGGTACTGCACACACTCACCCCATACCTTCTCCCCTCTACCGTGCTGGGGCAGCTGGGAGACAGCCTGGTCCCCCAGATTCACCCACTCTATCTCCCTACGAGACATTTGCTTTGGGTCCCCTGCACAGGCCCTAGGGCTAGAGACCACATTATTCCTCAGGATTCTAATGACCTCTCTTTGCACAGTTCTGTGAGGAGGAAACCGAACCAGGCCCCAAACTCATTTGCTGCACTCCTGAAGCCCGAGAAAAGAAAAGCAAAATTAAGGGACCCCATGGTCACCTGTATGCAAATGGCAACAGGTGGCCTCTGCATCTCTGGGAAACACAGCAGGAGGGAGAAAGCAATCAGTATCAAGCAGACAGAGCATGTCCTGAGGTTGCCTCTGAACCAAGGCTCAGTCCTGCCATGGTGGCCTCTCCCCTGGCCAGGGCCAAGATCCCTACTGAACATTTCACAATACCATCCAGCCTGTGGTTGCCTAGAACCGTGACTAACTCTCAAGGGGAGACCAGTCAAGTCCACAATGCACAGACATTCCTTCCTCTTCTGAGCCAAACCCCAGGCTCAGACACCATCCCCTCCCTTCTTCCTCCAACCAGCACCTCATGGATCCATAAGACCTCAGCCGGACCCCAGAGGAAACCCAAACAGTGTCTTCAAGGCTCCCAGCCTTTGGGGTGAAAAAGGCAAAAAGAAAGTGCCAGATTTTTCTGGGGTCAACCTCAGTTAATGCTGACTCTTCTCTTATCAATGTGCTCCAAGAAGGATGCAAGGTAAGACAGCTCCAGACTCTGGGATCCCATAACAGAAGTGGGGGAAGGGGAAGTCATTGGTCTGGAGGTGGAGAACTGGGAGGACATGCAGATGGAGTGGAGTGATGGGAGCATGATTAGAGGAAAAAAAGTAGAAGCACCAGGGTGATACCGGAAACGCCAGCAGAGACAATGGCACTCCCTCCCCACATTCCAACTCTGCCAAGGGTGAGGCCCTATCCACAGGGACAGCCAGCTGCCCACTGGGCTAACCCAGACATCCCCAAAAGCTCCATTTCCCATTGGGAGCTTCAGACACTCTGGCCTCAGCCCCACCCCAGGCTCCCTGGTTCCTAGCTAGCCAAGGGTAGGCCCCACTGGAGACATCTTCAGGGGCTCAGTTGGCTTCCACGCTTGCATGTTCCTGGCTAAGGCTTAGTTACTCACAGAGAGAATTTCATTTCAAAAAGCCCCAACCACCTAGATCTAGGAGAAACTCCTTTCTGCCAAGTTCTTTGTCTATGAGTATGTTGGGTAAGGGGGAGGCAGGGGCAGTGGGGGCGGGGGAGTGATGAAGAAAGGAATAAGAGTGAATATAAAAAGCAGGGTTCCTGAAACCTATTCCTAATCCTCCTCCTGGGAGGATCTGAAAGCCCCTCACAGAGCCCCACAAAGACTAAGGTCTGAGACAAGCTATGTCAGAGGGGAAAATGTTCCAAGGCAGGCAAAGTGGGGACAGATCAGCCCGACAGAAGCTGGGGAGTGCCTGGGGTGGGGGGAGCCATCAGATCAAGGGCTCAGTGCTCTTACGGTATCTTCTCACGGTATCCAAAAGCACTATCAAAAGACAAGGCACGACTATTTTCTTGACGCAGACGGATTTGGTGTGGCTAATTAAAACAGGTCCTATTGGCCAAGTACATTACAGTGATTTATTAGTGGGGTAGAGATTTCCTGGTGACGTGGCCAGCGCTCCAAAGGACTGCTTTCTCATCCGTCACCATAACATGACCGATAAACCCCACCGCCACCACCCCCAGATCTGCCAATTGTCATTATTTTTATTATTGTTGCTATTATTGTTACTGGTGCTACTTCGGTGTCAACTGCTAGGAAATGTTTTGTAATCAGCCTGCTGGACAGGGTTCAAGTTTTTTTTTTTAAAGAGAGGGCAATCAGGGTCTTGGGAGTCAGGGTGACTCAGGCAGTAACCCAGCAATTTAGGGATGGAAGCCCAGGGTCCGGTCACCCATGTCCATAGTTTAACCTACGGACCACAGCCCCCAGCTGTGCTGCAGACTAGGACAAAGGCCATTCGTTTTTAAGGCAGAAAACCAGCAAAAAGCCTCAAAGAAAGATGCTTTGTGCTCCTGGCACCGCATTCCTTAATGCCCATCTCTCTAGGTGGGCTGTAAGGACCACGGGGCTGTTAAAACTAGCCTGAAGTCCTAAACTTTGGGGAAAAGGGATGGGGTGGGGCAAAGTTTCCACTCAGTTACTCAGGAGAATTCCGAGTCCTCCAGTTACCTTCCTCCTCCCTCCTCCAGCCACCCTCTTCCCATTATAGTTCTAGTTACAAACCGACACACCCAGCAACAACTCCTAGACCTCCCCACCCTGCCTATTCTAAGAGACTGCAGTGGGGCTTTCCCCTCCTTGGAATCCCCTTCAGTCCATCTCCCCCATTTCCACAAAAGCGTGGGTAAAGAGAGGAGGGCAATTATTTATCATCGTGTTGGAAGACCCCGAAGGCCAGCTAGTCGAACCCCCAAGTTTCACAGATGAGATAACTGGGCCTGAGCAGGGTCCTTTTCAAAACCAGAGGCATCAGGGGCAGGATTTGAACCCAAGTCGTCTGACGCCACAGCCAGGCCCATTTTTCATTTTTCCTTTAAAATTTTTTAACATTGCTATCTCTTGCTTTTCCCTCATCTTCATTTCTCACTGTCAGTGCTTTTTTTTTTTCCTACTGTACCATACTGTCCCCCCCTTTTGGAATATTCTCCACTGAATACCACTTGGGGATACCCCACCAAATGAGCTAACTGGTCAAGATCTGGTGAGGGGGAAAACAGTGACAGCAGGCCTCACTCATTTGGGAGGAATGCAAGGAGTGAAGGCCCAAGTAGTCTGACCAGGGCTAGTTTTCTAATAAGCAGCCCAATGACCCACTGGTCAGCTCGTGTCACATTAAACAAGCTCCCTCTGCACAGACCTACAAGTCCCTGGGCCAAGCAGCTCAGTTTGAGGGTGAGGCTGGGGCCCGTCAGGCAGGGGAGCAATAAAGAGGGAGCAACAAAGGACAGCAGACTGCCCACCCCATCCAAACCCGGAGCAGGACGTGCTCGTCCAAGCGTCCAGCTTCGTTCTGTGGGTAGCCCTCGTTCCCTGTTCTAGAAAAACTAGTTTCAGAAACTCAAAAAAATGAGTAGAGGGAGACTGGGGACAGTGTTTAACAGGGCTTTTATCGAAGGCTATTCTGATCTCCAACTCAGAGGCTTCTCTGCTCATACTCCTCTGTGCTTCTCCTAAGAGGGATAGGCATCGAAGTAAAAAATAAAAGGGAAGGAAAGCTAGGGGACCCAGTGGGTTAGCAGATGAGGAGGCAGGTCAGAAGGCTCCCTGGGCAAACAGGAAATGGAGAAACTGGAAGCTGAGATCCCTCATGGAGTACAGCTGGGTCTTTGTTCACATCACAGGCACTCAAGCTGTCTTCTGACCCCCAGCACTTTCCACAATGCACTGGGCCCCCAAGATCAGAGCCTCAGAGAGATGCTATCTAACTGGCTTTGTAGGTGAACACTGATCACAGACAGTCAAAGTCACGAGGTGCCTGTGGGGTATTCTCTCTCCTGTTTGAGCCAAAAGAGACTAACCCATTCCCTCCCAAGGGAAACCATTGATTCCTTCACTACATCAGCATCCGCCATAAGGGAGGTTATGTGAAAGAAGACATGAGGTCCCTTAGCCACATAATCCAACCAAGATGAAGGCTGCAATTCCCTCTTAGTTGCCAGTTCCCTGATAACATCACCCATCAGGGTCCAGCAGGTCACCCCTTGATGGAGAGAGGGACAGCCACATTAGATAAAAGCAACTTAACATCAGGCCACATATACATGGAAGGTTCCCAGCAAGACTATAGCATGATAGTAGCACTTGGCAAGAGGCCATATTGGTGGCATACAGGACCAATTAGCCTGGATTAACAAACAAACTCTATCACAGCCCCAGGCCTGAAGACAGTAAAGACAGACAGGATCTTCAAGACCATGGTGGACAACACTGTATCCTGGCCCTTCTCCCCCAAGGTGGGTAACAGGCATCTACTCTGCTTTATAGCAAGGAAAGTAAGAAGCTTATGAAAGCTGAAGGAATGGACTGGGGATCAGAGGTCAAGAGCTATTCCATGGATTTAACCCTACAACAGCACAATAGCAAATCTAGCCCACACACAGGCTGGAAAGGATGAAAGAGTGATGAAGGTGTATTTCTGAAGGCCTAAAAGAATGTGGCAAACACACGGACCACAGACAAGCCAAGACCACAGAAGGCCTGCAGGATATCTCCTCTAATGAAATCAAATGAAATAACGTGTGTAAAATGCATTGTAAACATTAAAGCACTACACAAATGCTAGTTATTATTATTGTTGTTGCTGTTAAAGCCAAAAGAGACCAACCCAGTCCCTCCTGGGCCATGACAGCTTCAACTTACCAGCGAGATTCTCCAGCAACGGATGTGCAGATCAGTATCCATCATGGAGGCAGGGAGGTTCTGACGGACCTTTTGAGATGAATGAATCCTGCATCCCTGCAAGGAGGGAAAGGGAGAGACATGAGCTCAGGTTTGAGCAGCTGACCCTGGAATGACCATTCACGACCCAGGTGAGGACCTATTGCTAAGGGCTGAGCAGTGGGCCTGGAACAGAATTCTCACAGCCTTAGCTGCTCTGCGATTGGTTTCTGCTCCCCCATCTGAAGCAGGTCCACATCTGAGGGGGCCCATTTCTTTCTCCTGAGAAGAACTGGTCTGTCGGACTGCAGAGCTTTCTGAAACGCAAAGATGCTCATATCATGCTATACAGACCTGAGAAATACGATTGAGAGTACCCCTGGTAAATACTTTGTAGAGAGGGAATGATCAGAGGAATCCTCAGCAAAGATCAGAGAGCATATTCAACTCTGCTAAAGGGGACCCAATCCAGCAAATCAAAGAGTTTCCCTGATGGCTCCTGCTACGTTTAAAAAAACCCCCCACAACATTTGGGGGTTAGTATGCATACCACGGAGGCTTGCTTTGAGGGTCAGTGAAGAAACGGGAAAGGATCCAGGGGATGAGTGACTATATTTGTGAACTCCTTGTGGACAGGAACCATTCATTCTTGACTCTGTACCCTCGGTGCCTAGCATTGTGCCTCACACATAGCTTGTTGTGTGAATTGTCCTGGCTTCCTGTAGTGAATGCCATCTTGGTCAGATTTCAAAGTTTATGCTCTGCACATACTCTTCGTCCTCTCCAAATTCTAGACGAAATTTTGAATGAACCTTCAGGATGTTCCATGGGCAAGGAGGTTAAGAGACCTGATTCTAGCTTTCAGGACATGGCAAAAATAGTGTGTGTGGAAGGGGGACAGAGAAAGAAGGGTGCTACCAAGCTAAATAAAACCTGATCTGGTTCTCTTCCTCAGTCCCCAAGCAGAAGATGCTTGCTCATGCCACAAATGAACCACCCTTATCCAATGACTCCGGGAAGCAATGGAGAAAATGGAGGGCCCCAGCTGCCTGGGTAATGGTTTGGCCAGGGTTCAGGGGCAGTGGGCAGCCCATCCTCTCCCATACCCTTGGGATGACTGGGCTGATGGATAAAAGGAACTCGAAATAAAATTCTGTCCAGGACGGCCAGCTCTAGAAAGAGCTAGAATCCTACGGCTGAAGTACCTAACAGTGCCTGGCACATAGTAGGTGCTTAACAGATAGAAATTTATTGACAATATGCAGAAAAAACCAGTGTGTTGAGAACCCTTTACATCATGAGAAAAGTAGCAGAGGAATGACCGAGTGGAATCCTCCTCCAAATTTGGACAAAGAAGGAAAATGGAAGCCCAAGACTGGTTTCAACCAGTAAACTGACCACTAGCTTAGCCCTGGTCTCCTCTCCAACAGGGGCCAGTGACTCAAGCCCTGACATACTCAGAGGCTACATCTCAGTGCCTCAATGAAACATAGACGGATGCAGGGACACTGATGTGCCTCCCCAGCTGCTGGTTTGTTCCACCCCGACCCTGACAGGAGGTGACATGGATGACTCCCAGAAAGGCCCACTGCCCAAGATAGATGTCTGCAATATGCCCCCTGCTCAAGGACTGGCCAACAGGGACACAGGAAAATTCCTCAGAGGATTTCTAGCCCAAGAAACACTCCTGACATTTGGGGGAGGGAATGCGAAGATCTAGAGGAAAAAAATACTGCTTGGCAGGTTTCACTTCTAAACCCCAAGGGCTGGCATTTTCTCCTCTGAGGTATACACTGGGCTATTGTGCTGTCTGACCCTGAGACTCTAGGCCCAGCCCCTTCTTCAGTCTGACCCCAGACCAGCTAATTTTCATGTTGATGGAGCATCAGACATGAGACTGAAAGCTCCCTCTCAGGGCTCCTGACATAATGAGTCATCTTCCAAGGGGGAAAAAAACCAAAACCCCAGCATCCATCACCAGTGCGCCTCTCTCCTTTCCCACAATTACCAACAGCTGCTTGTCAATCTCTGCTCCTGAAGCCCCAGAAATGAAAGGGAGGGGCCTTGGACTCCCTCCTTCCACAAGGCTCAATGTCTTCAGGAACCAGACAGTCATTATTGACACTTTGGGAGGGGAGATTTTAGTGGGAAAACTAATTTGGCTCCCAATGGGACTTCCACAGAACTGACTAACTCTCCCTAATTCTCTATGCCCTGCCTTCATGAATCCCCGCCTCGCTCCCTCGTACCCTAATGCTGCTTCAGCCACCTGACACAGAACCCCAAGCACACATGTGACCTAGTGCCTCAGGGGTTTACACAGAGCGTTCCTCACAGCAACCCTGTGAGGCAAGCAGTACCAATAGGCTTAAGCCCATTTTACAGGTAAGGAAACTGAGGCAGCTAGTATCTGGACTCAAATGCTGGTCTTCGGACTGTATCTAATGCTCTTTCCACTACACCTGGTGATAAAGACACATGGGACAGGCTTGGAGCATGCGCCTTCAACTTCAACGTGGTTCAAAGTAAGTGGGTCCCCTCCTTGAATTTGTTTTCCCATCTGCAGGACTGAGTACCACACACAAGCTCTCATCTCCTCTGCTTCTGCCAAACATGCTTGCAGAATGCCACTTCCTGGCCCCCAAAGGTCTCCCAGATGGAATCAGGCAACATGGCAGTGAGAGGCAGTGTGGCCTAGCAGACAGTGGCAGTCAAGAGACCTGGCTCTGAATCCTGCTTCAAACACTTACTAGCTGCTCAACTATGGACAAGTCACTGAAGGTCTCTGAGCCCCAATCTCCTCATTTATAAAAAGGGTGGCACGAGGATCAAGTGTAATGACACATACAAAGTACTCTTCAAACTAAAGCGCCCACAATAATTTGTGGAACTATTTTCTTTCACCAAAATTCTCTATAGGGGCACCTAGTGGTGCAGTGGATAGAGCACCAGCCGTGCTCTCAGACACTTACTAGCTGTGTGACCCTGGGCAAGTCACTTAACCCCGACTGCCACCCCTCAATTTTTTTCCTATACAGTCTTAGTTTTTTAGCATCTGAGAAGGTGAGCCCAAAATAAGTGTTAAGCTGATTCCTGCGGGCCTAGAGTCCCATACCCTGAGGACTATGCTGTCAGATATATTAGGGGGAACCAATAAGAACCAAGGCTGGAAAGAGAGCTGGAACCACAGAGAACCTAGAATGCCTTAGACTTGATCTTGCAAGTAATCAGGAACTGTTATAAATGTCTGAACAGGGCAGAGTCTTAACTTCTGCCTTTTAGATTACTTATCTCCTTCCACGCTTACAAGCTGCTCTCTGGGCCTCACTTTCCCCATCTGTAAAAAGAGGGGGGGCTGGACTGGATGGCCTGAAAGGTCTCTTTCAATACTACACTTATGATCCTACAACACATGGCGGCTATAGGCAGGGATAAGATATTATGAAGAGAGACTATAAACAACTTGGTCACTGACTGTACATAGAGGTGAAGAAGCGTGAGGAGGGACGACAAGATTTCAAGCCTAGGTAACCAGGAGGCCAATGGTGCCATTAGTGGGAATAAGAAAATCTGATGGTATGAGCAGGAGCAGGGAGAGATGACCAGTTCAATTTTGGCTGTGTTGAATTTGTGGAAGCACTGGGACTCCCAAGTGGAGAGGTCCACAGCTATCTATTTTTTTTTTTAACAAGACCTTTGATTACACTGGTATAAGGAATGTCTTATGAGGAAACTTCCTCTACAAATGCAGGGCAGCCCTTTCTCTACCATTTATAGTCAATTTTAGAAAGTTGCTCAGGGCACTGACTTTTCCAGGGTCATACAGTCCAGAAGGACCTGAACCCACATCTTCATGCCTCTCTATCCATTACATCTTGCCATCTGTTTCCAGCAGGTATTTACCAAAAGATAACTGGAATTTGGAAGAATATCCATAAAATGCCGAGGTTGGAGATAAAAGATTTGAGAGTTATCTTTATGGAAGTGTTGTGGTGAATCTAAGGGAGACAGATGGTCTGAGGGGGAGAGTGTAGTGACAGAAGAGAAGACAGATAAAGAGAGAACCTTAGGAAATAATACCTAGATTAAGAGGGTTGGGAGAAGGAAGAGATGCCACTGCAGGAGGCAGAGTAGTTGGGATCAAAGAGGTAGGAGGAGAATCAGGAGATGATGGTACCACGTTAGCCAAAGGAGGAGAGAATTTCAGGAGGGAGGGGCTGGCAAAGCCTCAAATGTCATGGAAAGCTTAAATAGGATAAGGACTGAAAAAGGCCATTGGATTTGGTGGGTCATTGGTGACCTTTGAAAGAGCGTTTTAAGTAGAGTGGTAGGGCTAAAATCTAGATGGCGAGGGATTAGGGTGTGAGTGGGTGGTGAAGTGAACCAGCCAGTGTGGAGAGATCTTTCTAAAAACTCGGCATCAAAAGGAAGGGAAGAGATAGGCCAATGGCAAAAGAGGGTTGCGGGCTGGAAGGAAAATTTTATGTTTTCTTTTTTTAAAGAATACAGGCAGCCTTAAAATGCAGGCAGAGGAGACAGGAAAGGAGTCACTGGACAGAAAGACTGAAGAGGTAAGAGAGGAAAGAAATAATGAATGGGGTGAAGTCCTGGAAGAGGCAGAAAGGAAGAAGCAGCTTCATGAAACAGTGGAAAGAAAACAGAATTCTGAGTCAGAAGACCTGGATTTAAGTCCTGCTATGTGACCTTGGTAAGCTAATTAGTCTTTTTTGGAACCTTGGTTTCCTCATCTGTAGGACAGCAATAACAATGTGCTTTGTCTACCTCTCGGGGCAGGATCAAACAAAACCATGTGGGTCACATGTGGGTCAAGTGCTTTTGGTCCCAAGGCATAATACCCATGTCATCAAGAATGCAGGTGGAAAGGAGGAGGGACAGTTCTTCCTCTGAGCTAAGAAGGAAAAGGCCCCCAGACCATCCTTTCCAGCCTCATCTCCCCTTCCTGCTTCTCCTGTATTCTATGTCCCAGCCAAGGAGCATTCATTTTGAACACTTTGAGGTTTGCAATGGGCTTTACAAATAGCATTTCACTGGATTCTTGCAATCATTCTGGGAGGTATGTGCTACTATTCTCTATGCTTTACAGATGAGGAAACTGAGGCACAGAGATGTTCAGTGACTTGCCCAGAGTTCACCTAGCCAGTAGTGTCTGAAGTGGGATTTGAAGAGGTCTATTTGCTGCACCACCCAGCCGCCAAATAGGATCAGGTCCCCCCACCCTACCTCCAGAAGCAATCCTTCCCTCATTAGATCCCATGGTACTTTGTGTGCCTTTTCTAAGTTGTACAATTCTCTGTGTACATATTTTACATTACAGACAAGGCGGCCAGTGGAAAGATGCAAGAAGAGCTGGGTTCGAGTCTTGCCTGACACATACTGGAGGTACAATCCCACACAAGTCACTGAACTTACTGGGGCTACAGGAAGCTCTCAAAGTGTCAAAACAGGCACTGATGTGCATTCATGGATAACAGGAGGTTCCCCATCAGGAGTTCTCTATACCAATGAAATCAGAGGTCCCCCTTCCATCCTATCCCCCCCTACATCATTTACCAACTAGACTGTAAACTTCTCGAGCTCAAAGGCAGCATGTTACCCCCTCCCCCAGGGCCTTGCACACAGCAGGTTGTTCAATAAATGTTGGTTAAATGAAAACAGGAAAGGGCACGTGGAGACTCAGAATTCTGAGGCATTGATGTTTTTTCTGGAGAAAGAACCTCAGGGGAAATTGAACCACCCTTGATCATCACCCTTAGTTTAATATTACTGAGAGGCTGTCCTTCCACCTGGGTGGTCTCCCTCCGTTGACACACGTATCAACACTTCGGAGATGGTCTCCCCAGTTTCCTGCGGCTAACCATCACCTGGTGAATGCTCTTCTGGTGACATGCATCTCTGCATTAAGACAGGCTGGTCTTAGCAGACATGTAATCTGCTGATGGACTACTCCCCATGGACTCTGCCACAGCATAGGCTTTGAGGACCCAGGATCTCATCCACTCCGTGAAGAGTCTTGGGAGGAGGAGCAGAGGGTGGGGGAAGGGATCATCGGGTGGCCACAATACCAAAAGAGACCACCTGGGGGCCGGTCCTCAAAGCTGTGAACCAAGGTGCAGGGGGAGCACCTCTAGGTGGCCCCCTAGAGGCTCTTCAGGGAGAAAGGATGATAAATTTCAGAGACGATGGAAGAAAGAGATGATGTAGCAAACAATGGGTGATCTCAGGAGGGGGTTCTCATAAGAAGAATCGACCCACCGATCCTTGTATCACAAGTGCCCTTTTATTCTAGCTTCTTTCTCTACACTCCCAACGACTCTCCCGATTTTCCATTATGGGCTGTATACGTGGGGTATAATAAGAATGCAGAGAGAAGAATCCAGGGCTCTCCAGAACTACAGCCACAACGTCGTAGTCTACACGGTGTAGCAGAGAAAGAGCTCTGTTTGGAGTCAGAGGACCCAAGTCTGACTCCTGGTTCTGGTATTTACTACTACCTACGTCACCACAGAAGAGACTCAACCTCCCTCAGCTTCAATTTTCTCATCTGTAAAATGAGGGGGTGACCTTCAAAGTACCTTCTACATCTAAGATTCAGTGATTCTTGACATACAAAAAACATCACGGAAACTGGCAAATACTCATTCACATACCATCCCTGCCGGGGACAGAAGAATGGGCTGCTGGGAACACCAGCCCACAGGACTGACCCTTCTCCTGTTAAGTGCTACGTCACTCACCCCAAAGGTCTTCACAACCCCACCCCAAACTACTTGAGGACTTTCTCTGACGAGGGGATTATTAGTCTGTGACTCCAAATACCTTCTGTCTTAGGAGGGCCCAACACAGCCAGAAGTCCCAGGCAGGGTCCTGGGTCCAAGGGCAATAAACATGTTTCTCTAAGTCTGCGTCTTTTGGGTAAGGGTGGGCACAATGAGGCCTTCCCAGCTCTGTCTCTGAGAGCCTCCTATCACTGCCGCAATGCCCACTACGTCCTCTGCGCTGCTTCTGCAGCTCTCCAGGTTCTCCATTTCCTCTCCCTCCCCCCACTGGCCCCCGCCCGTTCTGCGCAATCGGCTCGGCAGGACCAGAGAAGCCCACTCCACCAAGGCAGGGGCCAATGGAAGCCCCCAAAGAGGAGCAACAGTTAAGAATCCCAATTCAAGACCTCTGTGGACCCAGAGACAAACAACAAAAAAAGACAAGGGAAAGAAAGAGGGCCAAACAACTCTGTGCCACCCCATCGAAAAAAAAAATCTTACTTTTTCAGTCATCATACCTTTTCCTTTGGAAAGATCCCCCCAAGTGAGCTGAGTTACAGAAGGAAGCTGAAAGGCATCATTCTATCTCCAGGGCAGATGTTCCCAGGAAACCGCTGGTGACAAAGATCGAAGACAGGGGCACAGTAGAGTCTGCTCTCTCATCCACTGGGTGTTGCTGACTGCGTAACCACTCAGGGGCTGGTCAGCAACGCTGTTCGGTAATCTCTCCCCCGGCCAGGACCTTTCTTCTGTGTTTTCTGCACCCCAAGGGGATGTGCCAGAGGACGAGAGAAGGCATATAACAGTTACGTAAGATATGGGGTGGCATGAGCCCTCAGCGAAGAAACGGGGTGCAGTGCGGTGCTAGGGTGGATGAGAGGGTAGATGGCCCGGGCACTGAGCTGAGCTTTCATGACACACCAGGATGACGTGGTGAGGGAGGAGACCTGGTCTCGAGGGGCCCATTTCTTACCTGAATATCTATGGCAAACTCGGGCCCTCCATTTAAATGAAGGATGGAGATCCTCATAAACATTTCTTTTCCAGGTCTTTCTCCCCACCAACTCTCACTTCCCCCCAAAACCACCAACTGCTGTCCTAGTTTTTCTCTCTTCCAATCCTCCTCCCTTTAGATGGGAAGATACAGGTAAGAAAGCTCTTTCTTCTATCAACTCTTATCGAAAGCCCACCCAAGTGGGCAAGTGCATGGGCTAACATCCATCCAGGGGTCATTCCTCACTCATATCCTTCCTCTTCCTACCCTCCCACCCACCCAAGGACTGATCTGAGGAAGACAAGTCCTCTCAGCCCAGAGGCTGGCCCACCGCTGGCCCCTCTGGACCTTGGCTATCTCTGGATGTCAATGCAAATCTCTGGTCCCCGGGGAGTAGTCTGGAGGCAGCAGGAAGCCCTGGGAGTCAGCAGCCGCAGCCCTACCTTGCCCACGCATTTCCAGGGGAGTTGGGAATTATTTTGCTGCAACACCAAGGTGCGGCCAGTGACAGCTGGAAACTCCCTCTTTTGAAATCAAATAGCCCAGGCAGCTTTTCTTCTGAGGCTGTCAACTCTTCTGCCGCCCTCATGCCTAAAATCAACTCTTCTCCCTCCTCCAAAAAAATAGTTTTGGTTTTTTTTAAAGTTCGTACAGCTGTAAGTTCTTCTTACACCTATGGAGCAAATGTCAGTCCCTCAAATGCCTGGAAGCATCAGGCCCAAAGCACCCCCGGACACTGTTGCACGCACACACACCCATGAAGAGCTTTCAGAGATCAGAACTGCTCAGTCCCCCCCCCCCATGCTCTGACCATCATCACCACCCGACCCCCCTTTTTCTCTCCAGTGAAATGGAAATTCAGATTTGATACCTAGTCCTCGGCCAATCCAAAAGAGCTTTTCACCTGCCATCGCCCTTCTCACCAATGGGAGGAAGTGTCTGGAGCCTGAGCCCTCCCCTGGCCAATGAAGGGCCAGCCCTGCCACTTAGTTAATGATGCAGCAGTACAGGGAAGGCCATCACATGGGAACTGGAGAGATGCCAACATGGAGACACAGAGAATGCAAGGTAAACAACTTTGCAACGCCAGAAGGATGACATTTAATCTCTAAATGCTGGCTTCCCTTTCTCAGCTCATCCTTAACCCTCTCAGCCGGGCTCGGTAGGCTCGGGGAGCCTCGGTCCCCTGCCCCCCTCAGATGTACCCATGACTGCGTCACTACTCACCACTTTGTTCCCCCAACTACGCAGTGACAAACCTTCCACAGCCTCAGCCCCCACCCGGGGCAACCAGGTCCCACCCCACTTTCCAACTCCACCCAAACCCCAATGATCCCCACCATGGCCAAACCTTGAGAGAGGGAGCCCCTAAGTAACTTGTCCCTTCCCCTTTTCTTTCCCTGACCCCCCCAGCATTTCCACATCGCAACTCTACTGACTGACAGACAGACAGACACCAAAACAGCCTGGGTCGTCAGTCCATCGTAAAGAAAGGGACCTCTTTCTGGGCTAAAGGTATAGATGGAGATAGGAGCCCAGGGGGGCAGGTCTGTTCTCTTCCTCATGACCCATGTCAGTTTGGACTAACTAACACTAAGGAGAATGAAAATTAAAGTGGAAAAATTCCCTCCAGGAAAGGGAAACAGCCAAAAGCAAGAGAAAAGACGGTCTAGGAGAGAAAGCACCCCCCTCCACAGAAGAATCGCCCCCGATCCCAGAATATACGTACGTGGGGGAAGAAGGGGTACACACCACCAAGTCTGGGAGCCCGTCACAACTGCCTGTCGCCTCCTGCGCAGTCCCGGCTCTCCATCCAACCTACCGTATGGTGTCGCAGGACAGAACGTTCCAGAATTTTGTCCCCGGTGAAGTCTGCCACCATCACCCTGCAACCTCTGCCGCCACCCCCCCCAGCCTCCTTCCCCACAGAGCCACCCAAGCCACCTTGCATCTTCTCTGCCTGAGCTCCCATGGGCTGCGATGTCCCCAATACATCTCTGAAAGCTTCGCAAGTAGGCTGGCAGAACCTAGGACCCAATGTTGATATTACTTGTTTCTCTTTCTCTCTGTCTCTCTCTCTCTCCTCTCTCTCTCTCTCTCTCTCTCTCTCTCTCTCTCTCTCTCTCTCTCTCTCTCTCTCTCTCTCTGTCTCTCTCTGCTGCAGCAGGGCTGTTGCTAACAGACCTATCGACGGAGCGCTCTCTCTCTCTATTTCTCTCTCTCTCTCTCTCTCTCTCTCTCTCTCCTCTCTCTCTCTCTTCTCTCTCTCTCTCTCTCCTCTCTCTCCTCTCCCTCCCTCCCTCCCTCCCTCTCAGCTGTGTGACGCAGATCTAAATTCTCCAGTCTGCTCCCTGTGTTGCAATAGCAGAATTGCAGCTTTCCCCTGGAGAGCTGGGGGGGGGGGGGCAGTGCCAAGGCTGGTCAAACAAGACCAAAAAAAAAAAAGTTGGGCCTACACTTTGCCTCCTGGGCCACACTTTTTGGGTGGCCCATTACCACCCCACCACCTTGGATGCTGAGGGGATTCCCTCTAGTCTCAGCAGGCTCACCTCTTCCCCTGAGGCAGAACCTTGCTTAACTCTGAGTGATGGTCCCCAGAGCTCAGCCAAATGTCATCTCATCTCATCTTTTGGAGTCCCTAAAACACAAGTAGTCACCACCCTATGACCACCATCACATTAACTATTTCTGCTATGGAGGGGTCAGGGGTAATGTCTGGGGCTGGCTTTTCCCTAATCTAAGGTTCCTCTCCACCCCATTTCGGATTTCTCAGGGTTAGGTTACGCCTGGCATGGCAAGAACTGAGAACCCCACCTGATTGTCTGATGTCTGGGATCACCCCCTCATCCCCCACTACGGGGGCTTCTGCCAGGGATCCAGAGAGCCAGGTTGAACTGTAGCCTGAGGAATCCAAAATAAAACAGACTTACCCCTCTGTCCTTCCAGGATCAGGTGCCAAGTTCCAGAGGTGTGGACTCCAACCATAACTGGGAGGACTTCAGGGGCCTCCGTCCCCCAGGGAATTCAACTGCTGAGTCATATGTTCCTGAGAAAAGTTCTTCGGAAGGCCTGAGGGGCAGCAAAGCGTCAGAACAAGCAGGTTCAAGTTAGAATTAGGCTTCTGTTAGGTTCTCCTCTCTACGAGCAGCAGCTATAAAAAAAATGAGCAGAAACCAACTGCCCCTCTCCCTACTCCAGGACTTCCCTCTGACATTTTCCCCACCCCACCCCCAATTAAAAAAAAGCATCACATTGATTAATATGCTTAATCAAGCACATTAACCCCTGCTTGCCTGAATATGTCCCAAACCCAGTCCTGGATAATGCCACAATTCTTGCGATAGTTTCTAGCCTTCTGGCCCCCACCTAGGTATAGGAAAGTAACCCTTTCTAGATGGGCAACTAAACAGTTTGCCATTTTCCTGCCCTGAAGGCTAAAGTGCTGACTTGAAGTCATGAGAATCTCCTGTGGACCAGTAAGTTGGCCGCAGCAATCGCGGACAAGCATACTTGGCCTCTCTACTTAACTCACTATTGCAAAATGGCTTCAGAGATACTGTGTGAAATTAGGAAAAGTGTTTGGAGTAGGAGATGGAGGGGGAACAGAGAGTAGTTCTGTTCCTAAGGGAGAGTTTCCCTATACTGTAGCTATCTGGGAGCCAAGGAAATAGAAAGACCAGCTGTTGCCCCCAATGCACCCCATGCCCGATTCCAGCCAGAATCTTCTCCTGGCAACTACTCTGGCTTAAGCGATCATCCTTTGGGGAGGTGGGGGCGGGAACATTGAGTAGCACGGGAATCTCACTCTAGCAGAAACAAGGACCACATGGAAATTAATCTCAGCCCCACAGGGCTCCAGGAGAAGCCCAGGTATTCCGTGCCAGGTCCTCAGTGGGGGGGGGGAATGCTCCAAATTAGCACCTTCTGGGCTCCAGGGTAGAGGTGGCCAATAAAGGAGTCACCTACTGGTCTGAGTACCAAAGTGAGTAAGGCCTTGATGGCAGCAAAACCAGTCCCCCTGAGTGGTCGCCTGCCCATTTACATCCCATATGCTTCTGCTTCCTCCTCCATGGAATAAAAACACGCCTGAGTTCATATCAGGACATTCCTGATTTATCCAAGAGCCCAGGATCAAATAAACAAAAGACTTTTAGCTCTGCCAGGGAGCCTCCTGTTTTAGGAGGGAAAACTGAAGGGTGGATAAGGAGGGTAGGGGGCATTGGAGGGAGAAAGGGCCAACTATCACACTACAGCCATCACCCCTCTCCCAACCTCAGGGATGTGGCGGCCTTATTGCCATAGTGATGGGTATGTCATAGGTGGGAGGAAATAACAGGAAAAGGCCAAGAAAGAGAAAAGGCAAATAGCTCACAAGAGACAGGGATGGAACAGGGCAGGGTACAGTGGAGAAAGCTATAGACACAGAGGTAAAAAAAGATGCAGGCAGACAGACCCAGGCACATGTCACAACGTCAGGAGCAAGCATGAACGTTTACAAATTAGCAAAAAGAAAAATTATTAGAGAAGTTGACTCCAGTCCCCAGACTATCAAATGAGCTGTGACTTGCAAGGTGTTATAATGATAGTATGGGAGATTTTAGTTTGGGGGTTTGTTTGCTTTTTTTTTTTTAATCTAAATATGCACAGTGAGAGTCAGAGTGGCTAGTGGGCTAACCACTAGCATCAACCTCTGATAACTATGATGCCTTATATTTTAAACTGGAAAAGGGGCCTTTGAGATAACTCATTTTACAGATAAGGAAACTGGGACTCAGAGAGCGTTACCATAAGCAAGTCACAAAACTTCTCAGTACCCTCAGGGTTATTCTCTCAGCCTTGAAGAAGCTGATGCTCTGCTCAGGACAGTTTCATTTCTGCCTTTCTCTCCAGAGTAACTATGCTTAATAAATGCTGGTTGCTTGTCTGACGAAGGGAGTTTCCACACTGGAAGTTACTTATACCAAGGAGATCACAGGTTCCAACCAAAAATAGATACAAACACATACAGTGCTTTTCCCATGCCCTTTCTGCTTTCCCCTAGCAATTTTGGTAAGATAAAAATGCTCATGTCACTTCCCAAATTTGGGTTTCTTTTCCATTAATCTCACTTTTTTACTTGGAGCTGACATCAGAGGAGGGAAGAAAAAAAAAAACAGCGACAAATGGGATGACCAGGAAACAGAAATGAATTTAGTTCCAAAAACACAGGAGGATGTTTACTTAGCAAGCACACTCAAGTCCACAAGGAAGCAGTTTTACAGGGTGCCGTGTACACTGTTTGATTTCAGGGGGGTAGCGATAACCACAGTGTGAAGGGAAGGAACTTGGCTCCTTCTATTCGTCCTAGGAGGGCTGGTAAGACCCGGGTCAGGCTAACTTGAAAAGGCTGGGCTTGAGCTCAAGTTGATGAGGTCACTGGCTCCTCTGGCTTCTCTGCATCGAGAGGCCTGAGGAACTAAACAAACTTTTCAGACATTGCAAGCACTCAATGGCCTCTGACTGATCTGGGTCAAAACTTGGAAGGGCCAAAGACAAGGGATATTTTTAAGGGTTATTAGCTGAACTTTTACCCACCCCCACTCTGGGTCTGGATTGCAGGCTGCGTGTAATTGTAACTCCAGCTACGATACCCCATCAAGTTTGGAAAGCAAAGTTATCACAACTTCAGTGCCTTCTTGCTTAAGAATCTTTAAATGGTGGGTGAGGCTGTTTCCCCAAAGCTAATGCAGTGGTGGAGAATATGGACAAAACGCTAAGTAATGGTGGCTGGCAAGCCAGTGAGGCTGAAGGAGTGGGGAGTCCTGACTGGCGACAGGCTGTAGAGGTTTAACTGTGCCGTCACGGGGCTATCTGGGAGTCTGGAGAAGTCTGTGAACACCTTCTCAAAGTAGTATTTTTAGGCAGCTGAAGAAAATGCTAAATTTCGGTTAGAAGTTAGTGAAAGTAAAAAATGTCCATTTTTCCTATCCAAATTCATGAGCCCTGCCTGATATCAACCCATGAACCCCTTAGAGGAGCAGGTTAAGAATCACTGCTCTTGACCTTCTGTGGGAAAAAGGAAGGCCATATGCATTTAGCGAACTCATCTAATGAACAACCTTGGATCACAGGCTCATAGATTTAGAGACGGCAGGGACCTCAGTGATCATCAAGTGATCATCTAACCCCCTTATTTTACAGATGAAGAAACCGAGGATCGGACAGGATAAAAATGGCTTGCTCTGAGTCACACAGCTAGCTCAGCGTATGAAAGGGTTTCAAATGCAGGGCTTCCTGCCTCCAATGTCAACGTTCTACTCACTAAAACATTAGATCACATTACCTCTATTACCAATCATTTCTCAACACACAGGAAATAAGATAAAATGAGGTGACCTATATGAAATACTTTGCAAACCTTAAACTACTAAGTTTTGCAAAACTTAAACTACTAAAGTGCTGTATATATTATGGCAGCTAGGTGGCTCAGACGATAAGAGTGCCAGGCCTAAGTTCAAATCTAGCCTCAGGCATTTACTAGCTGTGTGACCCTGGGCAAATCACTTAACCCTGTTTGCTTCAGTTTCCTCATCTGTAAAATGAGCTGGAGAAGGAAATGGCAAACCACTCCAGTATCCTTGCCAAGAAAACCCCATGGACAGCACTGGCGTGAAACAATCCATGGGGTTACAAAGAGGAAGAGTCAAACATGACTGAGTAACAACAACAATTATTTTATTATTATTATTATTATTATTATTATTATTATTATTATTATTGTTATTGTGACCTAATGCAAGCCTAGTACTTGCAGAAGATACATGGGAAATATCAGA